CTCCCACTCCCACCATGCCCGTGCGGATTCCCTGCGCTGCCTGCCCCACTGACTTACCCACCTGCCAAGCCCACGTGTTTTTTCACGCTGGGCCTATCTCCCTGAATGTAAATGAGGAGGGTTGTCTCCCCGTGACTGTGTGACATAGATGGTAGTGTGTGTGGGAGGGGTCTCTAATTTCTGAGACATGCACACTTGCCCATTTTTCTCATTTTAAAACTAGTTTCCTCCAAGTTCTGATGCACCAGCCTGGTCTCAGGGTGACCCTTAAAAGACAAACCCTTTTAGTGACCACTAGGCGGCAGTTTTTCCCCAGGTGATGCTGCAGGTACAGCGAATGTTGAGCCCTTCATACGTGCCAGGTGGGTCCTGTGCTGGTGCTTACTGTGTCCTTGAAACAGTCCCATGAGAGGTCCTGACATCATCCCCATTCTACAGGTGGAGGGACTGAGACTCAGGGAAGGAAGTCACCCCCCGAAGGAGGTGCCGGGATGGGACCCCTGGTCCTTTTGACCTCCCCCCATTAAGCTGCTTCCTCGCTCCACAAAGCAGGCCATTCAGCTCTGTACCGCCCATTGCCCTGTATGCAGTAGCCCTTCGAAAGATGTTGATTGAGTAAATAATGAAGTAAAACATCTTTCCAAAGAACTTCTACAAATTATACCATTGGAAACCAGTAAATCAATTATATGATACTCTTAAAAATTCACAAGTTTCCCTCAAGCTGAGACACCAGATGGAATGTGTTTGGGGATAATGCATTTGGAAGACTGTTATTAGGTGCTTACTGTTGGCCGAACCCACTGTCAGGCCCCAAGAATAGAGGTGAAGGAGGTCAGGGGTCTGCCAAGTGAAGACAGATACAACCTCAGGTCTTGACTGCCCACCAGAACAAGGGCCTACTTACAGGAGGGCACCAAAAAGAGGGTCACGAATGTGGCTCAGGTCCACGAAGGCTCCACTGAGGAGGCTCACCAGGGTTCACTCGGCGAATGAGGGTAGGGAAGACAGCTTGCCCACTCCCCTGGATCTCTGCCCCGCCCCACGCCAGGTACCAGCGGAAGTGGGATGAGCTGGCCGTTCAGGAGAAGCTGTTCCGCCAGGAGTTTGAGCAGCTGGCCAACAACAAGAAGGAGATCGTGGCCTTCCTCAAGCGCACACTCAACCAGCGCGTGGATGAGATCACTGACCTCAATGAGCAGCTCCAGAGCCTGCAGCTGGCCAAGGAGATGGAGAAGGACGCCTTTGAGGCACAGCTAGCCCAGGTGCGCCATGAGTTCCAGGAGACCAAGGACCAGCTCACCACGGAGAACATCATCCTTGGTGAGAGGGGCACTGGCAGGAGAGTCTCGGAGCCCACACCACAGGGGAGGGAACCCAATGCTCTTGCCCTTGGGGCTCTAATCCCAGCTCTGCCATTGACTTTGTGGCCTTGGGCAAGCATTTCTCTTTGACCTTCAGTTTGCTCATCTGGGAAATGGGTATAATCCATCTACCTTGAGTAACAGCAGCTATGTGCTGCTTCTTCCCACACATTATCTTCTCTAATTGTCCCAGTCATCGCCCAAGACAGGAAATACTATCACCCAGTTTGTAGGTGAGGAAGAACCTCAAGAAGTTAAGTGTCTTGCTCAAGATCACCTAGCTGGCAAGCATTGTTTTGAGGATTAAGGACAGCATTAGTGCCTGGCCCAGAGAAGGTGTTCAAGTTCAGTGGCTGTAGTCACTGTCACTTTCCAGAAAACAGAAGTCAAGGGAGGCCTTTCCAAGGAGGTGGAAACTAAATGAGACTTCATAAGATTAGTGGCAGGGAAGAGGGGGGCATTCCAGATGAAGACCATGTACATGGACAGGACTGGGCATGGCATGTTGTAGGGACAGGGGTCCAGCCCCACTGGATTGAGAAGCATAGGGAGGGCAAGCGGATGTGGAGGAAGTGGGGAGGGAGGGGCATTGCTCAAGGTCATCGCTGCCCTGCCGGGGCCCTGCCCACCTGAGGTGGCCCCTCACTGGCATGTCCCCTGCGGTGGGGCAGGGGGGAAGCTGGCAGCTCTAGAAGAGTTCCGGCTGCAGAAAGAGGAACTCACAGAAAAGTTCGCGACCCTGGAGGATCAACTACGGAAGCAGGAGTGTGACTACAAGGATTACGTGTACAACCTAGAGAAGAAGTCCGTGCTGGACAAGGACAGGTGGGCAGTTTGGGCGCTGGGGCGAAGCACAGTTCAGTCCTCGGGCCTCCCGACAGCCTCCGCTTCGAATTGCACTAGCTCAGGGTGCAGGGACTCCCCAGCCTGGCTGGTGATTTATACAGAGCAGGAGAAAATAGATAAGCTCCCAGCTCTAGTCCTTACACTGGCATTACTGAATCCTTGAGACTTCCTTTTGGCACCTTCTGGGACTTAAATTATATTTGCTTAATAGGTAATGATAAAACATCGATATGGTTTCAAAACGCCAGGGGTAGAAAGGGTCTACAGTGAAAAGCCTCCTGCCTGGAGCCCCATTCCTCCTGGGAAACAGAGCATAGTGGTGGCCCTAAAAACTCTGGGGAACCCCACCTGGGAGGACGGTGCCTGTGCCCACTCTGCCTGATGCCCCCTTCTTCCTATCCATACTGTCTAGACTGAGGAAGGAGATCATCCAGCGCGTGAACTTGGTGGCCACCGAGTTCCGCAAGGTGGCCACTAACCAGATGTGGGACACGACAAAGCGGGCCATCATAGAGAACAACACGGTCACCCTGCAGCTGTCCAAGATATCCCGGCAAGGCATGCAGCTGCTGCAGGAGAATGAGCAGCTCAAGGGCACCCAGGACAAGCTGTGCAAACAGCTGGATCTGTTGGAGAACACCCAGAAGGCCATGGCCAGGCATAGTAGAGGCCACCATAAGGTGTGCCTGCCAAGCCCTCATCACAGGGCATTTGGCACATAAAGTAGGAGGGAACCGTAGGGGTGCTGCTTCAGGGCAAACACAGCATGGCAGGGTCAGAGCCAAGTCATGAGGGAGGCAGCAGTGAGGGGACAGGGTCCTTTGTGGGGGCTCCTGGGCGCACCTCTGGTTTTTCTTTATTTGGTCTAAAGCCCCCGTAACTCACTGAAGTGGAACCCACCCCTGGGCAGGCGGGGGCTTTCACCAGACATGGTGCTGGGCCCCGAGGACCATGGCTGGCTTCTCTGTACAACGGGGTGAGCTCTGGTTGAGTCCAGAGCCAGGGGAGTGGGGCTGGCGGAGGGCCCGCGGTGGGCCCAGGGTATGGCCACCTGCCCGTACCTGCAGATCATCCTCATGCTGACCGAGAAGTGCCTCGAGCAGCAGCAGAGCACTGCGGAGGCCGAGCAGCTGCGCCTCCAGCTGAGCCAACTGGAGCAGAGCCTCAGGCAGCTGCAGCAGGACAACCAGGCCCTGAGGTGGGGCCCAGAGAAGGGGGAGCAGTGGGAGCAAGGATGGGGTGGGGGAGGTAGGGGGTGGAACTTGAGCCCATCCCTTTTGGGCCACATGACATGACACAGGCCAGTGGCATCCCCTTTCTCGAGGGGTCCTGAGGCTAAGGCCTGGGGCTGGAGGAGGGGCTCCTGTGGGCTAGAGAGAAACTGCCCCGCACAGGGAGGGGGCTGACTCGTCCCCGATCCTGGGTCCAGGAGTCAGAGAGACCAGCTCAACTCGCAGCTGGAGAGGCAGCAGGCTAAGGCACAACAGCTAGAGCAGGAGCTGACTGAAGAGCAGAAGGTTCGGGCAAGTCTGGAGACAGCCCTGGCCCATGCCACCTTCTTCCTACAGGACATTCTACAGGTAAAAGGAAGTGGGTAAAAGTCAGGGGCGGAGGCAGTGGGCCATCAGTGTCTGATGGCAGACACTGCTTGGAGATAATGGGGACACCGGGAGATGGCCAGGCCAGGGCCAGAGGCCCCACCTTTCCCCTGAGAGACTCGAGGCAAGTTTGTCCTTTCCTGATCCTGTAGTCCAAAGACCCCTTGAAGGTCTCAAAGTTGCTGGAGTCTCTCTCTGAGGCCCTGGAAAGCCTCGTGCTTCGGGCTTCCCATCTGGAGAATGGGTATCCCACCACAGCCACGGTACACTTGGAGAAAACAGGCACCGGGACTGGAGTTTCCCAGAGGTGGGTGTTGGGGCCACTCTGGGCCTGATCCCCATGGGCCCACCCCCACTGGCAGATGCGACCTGACGAGGAGGATGGCGACTTTGATGTAGTGTTCCAGCTACAGTGCAAGGAGATGCTGCAGCAGCTGCTGACCATGCTCAGCTCGGCCATGGTCCTAAGTCCCCAGCTGGCTGTGTGTCCCCGCCAGGAGAGCAAGCCCCATGGCCCACCCAAGGAGAGGTGAGTGACCCTGAATGACTTCAGAGGAGGCAGCTGTGGGAACCTTTCCAAGGGCTCTTCTCAGCTGACCCTGGGCCACCAGAAACCTGGCTCCGCAAAGCCTTTCTGAACCTCTTATGAAATGGAGGTGGTGATGCCAGCCCCCTCTCCACAGCCAGCCCAGCACCCAGCCACCCAAGATGGGGTCTCTGCCTTGGCAGCTATCCAACATCACACCCTACCAGCCGGGGGACCTGGGCCTGGTGCCACGACGGGCCCACATCCCACCCAACCCTGAGGACCTCAGGCTGCTCTCACACACCACCCGTGTGGGAACCTTACAGGTGCATAGCTGCCCTGAGGTGAGAGTGCCGGGGCCCCAGTGGCGGCAAGATAGCAGCCAGCCCGAGGTATAGATCATAGCTCTGCCACAGTGCCGTTGTATGGCCTGGGGGCTGTGCCTAGCTCTCTAGGCCTTCATTTCCCCACCTGTAAAATGGGCCAAAGAAAAGTGGGGCAAGGCTGCAGTGGGCTAAAGTATGCCCACACATCGCCTGGGAAGGGGGCTTGCTGGACCCTGTTGGTGCCTCCTCCATTGGCAGGTGAAGGGTGGGACCCTCCTGAGGAGGCCTCAGCTTCAAGCCACATCTTTCATCTTACAGATCCACACCTCTGGTTCTCCAAAAAGGTTCAAAAAGTTTAGTCTTCCTGAAGTTTCTCTACTTTCTAAGTAAGACACAGAGAGATGACCAACCCCTATTCCAGAAGTGGGCCACTGTGGCCACAGTCTCTTTAATTAACAGGCAGTCTGGGGCAGCCCAGAGAAGAGTTCTATAAAAAGTGGATACCACAAAGTTGGCATGGCACCTCTGTGAACGTGCTTGGGGGTGTGGGCACGGTGGTCAGGCAGGCTCGTGTCCAGTGATGGCAAAGCCTGAAGGGGGGCCCTGGCTTCGCTCACGGATGTGGTCCAGGAGCAGGTCGGCAGCTCGCTCCAGCAATGGAGGCAGCAGCTCCTGTTCAGCGGCGGAGAAACAGCCCAGCACGTGGGCCTGCACCATGTCAGGGTGTGACGGGCGCCCGATGCCCACCCGCAGCCTTGGCATTGCCTGTGGGGTCAGAGGGGCCCAGAGAGCTTTGATAAGAAGAGTCGGCGGCCCCATGCTGGCCCACCAGACCCAGTGTGGGAAAGAGGACAGAGGGGTGGACTCACACTGGAGTTGAGACACGCAATGCAGGAACGGACTCCTTTGTGGCCCCTTCAAAGGGATATAGAAGGGGCAATTAGTGCTTCCCTGGATCAGCACCCTTCACCCCTCGAAGCCCCGGCTGGGGTCAGAGCACTCCTATTCCCTGCCAAGACGGGTGTGTGTGTGTGTGTGTGTGTGTGTGTGTGTGTGTGTCGGCACTGGTACCCCACTTGCAACTCGGGGGCTCCTCCCTAGCCCACCCTGACCTGCTGAGGCCTCACCTGGAGCTTCCCCCAAGCTTCAGAGCCAGTTTCCCCAGGGGCTTGTCCAGTTCATCGTGCACCAGGTAGACCTCCTCAGCAGTCAGCCCAAACAGCTCGGCTGTGCGCAGACAACAGGGGCCCTGGTTACCGCCCATCAGCCTACAGGGGTGGTCCCGATTCACAGCTCTCGTGCGGCGGGACCGCAATTAACCCCATTTCACCTATAAAGCACCTGAGAGTCCCACAAGTACCCAAGGCCACATGCAGCAGCTGGAGCTCAATAGGCACCTGGAGGGGAACAGATCCGCCGCCGCCCAGAACCCCTCCTCTGGCCTCTGCGCCCCCCTCGCCCCGGCCGGCCGCCTCGGGTGCCCTCAACTCACCCGCCCGGGCCACGCAGCGCCCGTTGACGTTCATGAGGCGCCGCGGCCGAAGCAGGACGAGCTGGGCATCCCCGAGCGAGGCCAGCGCGAGGTCGGCGGCGCAGTGCCGGTCGCGCGCCCAGCCGTCCGCCACTCCCAGCCGCTGCGCCAGCTGCCCCAGCACCGCCAAGCCCACGCTGTGCCGCGTGCGGGGCAGTCCAGGGTTCCCCAGGCCGGCCACCTGCGGGCGGCACCCGGCAAACTGAGGCCCGACCTCTCCCGCCACCCTCTACCTCACAGCGCCCCCTAGGACCCAAACCAGAGAAAGGGAAATGGGAGGGTAGGGTAGAGTGGGGAAGGGGCGCGAAGAAGGGGGCCCAGAACCTCCGGAGACTCCGGAAGCCTGAGGGCCCCGCCAGCTGAGCGGTCAGGGCAGTGTTCCCGGGAGTTTAGGGCCCGTCAGAATACTGGACCCATCTTCCAGATAAGAAAATCGAGACAAGGAATTTAGGGAATGTTGTCTGGAGACAATGGCAGAACAGGAGCTAGTTAGGGCCCAGGAGCCCCTACGCCGCCGCCCGCCAAGCCACTCACCAGCCACCGCTTCCCCGGGGGCCGGGGTTCCAAAACGCCCAGGCTCAAGCACCGCCTCATGGCCCGCCTCAGCCCCAGCGTCGCTCTCAGGCGCGGAGAGGCGGCATGCTACCCTTATTCACGTCCTCGGCCCCGCCCCCTGACGTCCTCTGCCCTCGACCAATCGCGGCGGCCACCTGTCCCCAGCGTCCAATCCCGGGCGAGCCTCGGGCCTCCGGGCTTCTAAGGAGCGGAAGTGGCGGGGCGGTGGCCTTGACTGGCCCCTCAGCTGGTTCCGCGGCGCCGCCTCGCCGCGTTCCTGTGGGGTTTACTGTGAACTCGCGGAGCCCTTGTATGACCTCCGGGTCGGGAGGAGGGAGCCTTGTTGTGGCCCCTGCTGTGGCCCTGCCTCGCTGCGGAAACCTGACGAGCCGTCTCCCTGACGTAGCCTCAGCCTCCTCGGCGGATAAATCCGCTAATCTCCTTGCGGCTCTAACAAGCCTTGGATCCCGGAGGCGTGGGCTGAGGGGGCGGAGCCTGGGGGCGTCCCGGAGGTGGTTCCTAGCAACGTGGGGAGTGGGTCTCCCGAGGCTCTCGCGGAAGGGAGTTCATGACAAACTCCGCAGAGGTGCGGAGAGGGTCGGGAGAGAAGAGGCCGAGGCCGAGTTCGCAGGAGAGGTTTTAAGTACAGGAGAGGCAGCATAAGTTGTGCAATTCAGGAAAGCCGTGGCCGCAGTGCCGAGAAGTGAGGGCTTGTGAGCGGTTGGGGAGGTCGGAGAGTTGGCCAGAGCTGGTGTCCTGGCAGAGAGGGCAGTGGCCCAGACGAGAGGATGAGAGAAGAGAAGGGATCTAAGATCTTTAGGAAGTGGGACAGACAGGACTTGAGGGCTGATAGGGCGTAGGTGACTGGCTGAACAGGTGGACTCACCAAGGTGGGGAAGCCTGGGGCAGAAGTCAGGTGAAGTGTTCAATTTGCCCTGCTGGGCGTGAGGGTCCCTCAGGATATGCAAAGGGCTGCAGGACCTCCTGGGCCTGAGCTGGAGACATTAGAGTTTTGGGGTGTTTGGGGAATTTGGGAGCTAGAGGTGGAGCTGAGGGCGACCAGAAGGAGAGCAGAGTGCAGTGTAAGAACTCTGGCCCCTGACCTTGACCACAGGAGAGGGAGAGAGGCAGGATTGGAGAGAGAGAAGTTGGAACATCCCTAAGGGGAATGGGACTGGGTCTGCCACCAGTAACCAAATTGTGCCTCCTGCCAGCCCTGGTTCATCCTGTAAAACACCTGAGGAGTGTGCAAGAGGAGCAGGGTCATCTCTGAGGCCTGCCCCAGCTTGCTGTCCCTTGGTTCTAGGATGCTCTGGAGCTTGACCCGGCTCCATCAAAGCCCATCTCAAAGCCATGGGTGTTTCCAGTCCCAAAGGGAGCCCTACAGCGGATCTTTGGGAGCAGCCAGGTGTTCCAGAACTTGGATGTTGTAAAACCGAAGATCACGGGATTAACAGTGCCCCTCAAAGTCAGGGAGTAGTGAGTGACTGATTACCTTGTCCCCGGGTCCCAGGTTCCTGTCCACAGCCAGTGGCGTGCCCTACAGCCTTGGGTCAGTCACTCTCCCTCTCTGGGCTTCAGTGAATTCAACTGTATAGTAGGGCTCTTCCACCTCAGCGTATGCAAGGCTGCTGGCCTGTATGAGATCCAAGACTACCAGGCTCCTCTCCCTAGGTCTCTGTCTACGGGCCCCACCCTGTCTCTCCACCTACATCCCCCTCCTCCCAACCTGATCCAGTGGCAACAGCTGTACGCCCTGAGCTGGTCAAAGCCAGCGCCAGCCCCTCTGCCTGTACCCCCTTCCCCCACAGCTACCACCAAGGCCTGCAGTGCTTGGAGAAAGAGGACTGGGAGATGGCTGTGCTCTTCTTTTCCCGTGCCCTCCACCTGGACTCTGAGCTGGTGAGGGGGTGGGTACGGGCGGTTGCTGACACTTTGCACTCACTATCCTGCCTACCGGGCTCCTCCTCTCGGGGCCACCAAGTTCCTTCTGGTCGTTGAGCATCAGCCCTCAGCAGACGGTGGAGAAGGGACAGCAGCCTGGGTCCCCTCTTCTTCAGGTAGACTTCTACGCTTTACGAGCTGAGGCCTACATCCAGCTCTGTGACTTCTCCTCGGCTGCCCAGAACCTGCGAAGGGTCTACTCCTTCCAGCCGGAGAACACCAAGTACCTGGAGCGACTTACCTTGGTCCTTTACCTGCAGGTGCCTGGAGCTGCTGCAGGCCTACCCACGGTGCCCGCCCCACACCCAAGCTCTCCTTGGCTCTTCTTCCAGCTGTGGGGGGTTTTCCTTGCTCCTGGGACCAGCTCTGTCTCTCTAGGGACCTTCTTGTCCCCGTGTCTGCATCTGTACCTCCTGCCCCTCTCATGACCTCTCCCACCTCCACAGGTGGTTTACCACCAGGGCTGGATAAAGTTCTGCAGCATTGCCCAATAGAACTTTCTGCAGTGATGATAGTGGTCTGCTCGGCACTGTCCAATCTGGTAGCCGTCAGCCACGTGGAACTGCCGAGCCCTTGAAATGTAGTAAGTGTGAGTGAGGAACTGAATTTTAATTTTATTTAATTAATTTAAATTTGTACAGCCACGTGAAGTGAGTGGCTGCTGTGCTGGACCCCACAAACCTAGCATCTAGAGGACCTAAGCACTAAAAAGGCAATAGCATCCCCCTTTTACAAGTCAGAATAAAAATACCAATCCATGAAATACCAACAAAGTCCAAAGTTTTCTGTTTCTCTACATTCCTGTTTCTATATTGCCATCTTGCCAACTATAGAATTCTGCCTCTGCTGTCTCTCCCTCGCTCTGTATCTCTTTCCATCTCTGTCACCTTCTCTCCATCTCTCTATCTCTGTCTCTGTGTCTCTGTCCCCTGAAGTTTCTCCCAGATCTAAAGGGCTGTGTCCCTGGCTCTTGTCTCTCTCCCTTCCCGCCCCAGTGGGCACCCCCTGTAGCTAGTGGGTGCTGCTGGGCCAGAGTCACAAGCAGAAGGGACTATCCCCTGTGTCCCCAGGGCCAGTGCCTGTTTGAGCAATGTGCCTTCCAGGAAGCCCTGAGGGTCTTCTCACATGCCTCCGCGCTCCAGCCGGGGAAAGCCAGCTTCCGTTACCGATGGTAAGTGCCGGGTGCGGCCGTATTCTCCCTGCAGCCTCTTCCTGCCCCTCTTGCCCGGCAGACACTAGAGTGTCTTTGCCCTCTGTCCTCAGCATGGCCTGTCTCCTGGCCCTCGAACAGTATCAGGACTGCCTCTCACTCGTCACTGAAGAGGTGAAGCTTGGTACAACCAATGCCGATGTCTTCATCCTCCGAGCCAGGCTCTACAACTTCTTCCAGAAGGTAGAGCAGGGAGGGTGGGGCAGGGGTGGCCCTCTCCCTGTGTGGGTGCCCCCAGCATACCCTGAGATTAGCATACCCTGAGATTACCCCAGCTGCCCGCGTGGTGGGGGACTGGCCCCTTTGCTGACCACCCAGCATAGTTGTCTGGCTATCACTCAGTTCTAGCTCCGTGTCAGGCCTGGTCGGCTCCCAGAAGCCACAAGGTGAGAAACCTGTGCCATCCCTGTCCTTGTGGAAGTTAGAGCCCAAGGGAGACATCCTTGAGCAGATAATTGCACAGAGAATGATTTCACAGTGTGGGAAGCAGCACAGGGTAGGAGTACCCAAGGATCCTTTAGATAAGGTGGCCTTCGTCCTCCTTTCCTGTCTCTCCTTATTTGCCTCACTGTCCAGGCTTAGAGCCAGGCAGTACAGGGAACAGCTTAGGGACAAGGGAGACTTGGGGTTACAAGAGAGAAGGGACTACAGGTATGAGAGGACATCAGCCAGGGTTTGGGGAACCTAGGAGGCCCCTGACTTCTTCCTGGGGACAGCAGAAGCCTCAAAAGGGTGCTCCCTGGGGCAGTGGGATTTAGAAAGATCCTTTGGCTACCAGGGGGGAGTCTGGCTGGAGGGGCAAGTCTGGAGGCCAGGAGCCTAGTGCCGTCCAGCCAGAGAGGAGGGCAGAGGCAAGGCTGGCCATGAGGGTGGCCAGAAAGGGGCCAGTCCCACAGTCCTTTGGGAGTCAGGAGCAAAGACAGATGGAGGAGGGCAGGGAAAGGGAAGGATCCAGAACAATGGTTGGTGTCCGGGCTTGGCCTGGTGCACGGGAGCTGGGAAACTCTGGAGGACGAAGAGGTAAGTAGGTTCACATCAGTCACCAGGTGGTGCATCCTGGGGGTGGCTGGAAACCTGACCCTCCCTATGCTGGGGACTGGGCTTCTGGGCCCCCACAGTGAGTCAGTGACAGGCTTTCCTTCCAAGGCAGGAGACTAGTAATTATTGATAATTGTTGACTGTGGGAGTTCGGCCCCTCCTGTCACCTCAGCCCCTGTAATGTACGGGCACATTCTAAGCACTTGACTCACACTTGTCTTTAAGACTTGAGGTAATGGTTTGAGTAGATACAACCCATTGTCCTCTTTTCACGAGAAGGAGATGGATCCAGAGGGCCTGGGTGACTTGCCCAAGGTCACACAACCAGTTCTCGGTGGTACCACCCTTGAACCCATACTCCAAAGCCCTGTCCTGAGCCTCTGCCATCTTCCCCCTCCTGACTTCCACCCACAACTGGTGTCCACACTGTTTGTCCTGTTTGCCATCCAACCCATTACCCTACAAAACTGTTTGTTGACTGACTGACAGACTTGCTCACCCAGTGGAAGCTATTTGCCTGGGGATGTTTTCTGCTCAGGCCCACGCCTGCATCTATTGTCAGAGTTGTCTTGGGCTTAAAGGTCAGTGCTTGGGACTATAGGGTGGATGTGACAGTCACCACCTGCATCTATTGTCAGAGTTGTCTTGGGCTTAAAGGTCAGGGTAGTTGGGGAGGGCATGTGCTTGGGACTATAGGGAGGATGTGACAGTCACCGTCAGAAGGACACACCCTTCCCCCACCTTGAGGGACCTTGGAGGAAGTCCTCCTCGGAGGAGGCAGCTGCAACACCGTTCTCCAGCAGAAACCATCCAGGCTGACCTGGCTCTCCTGAGGTCACGTCTGTAAAGGGACCGGCAAGGATGGGGGCTGGGATGGGATTTTCCCATAATGCTCCCTGCTGCTTTCACGAGGCGAAAAGGTGGCATAGCAGTGCAGGGACATGGAGGGTAGGTGACATGGTCTGGAGGTGTGCCTCTCCATGGGACAGGGCAGAGCTCTGCTTAGCCTGCCACCCTGATGCCGTCCCTGGGCCTCTGCAGCCCGGCCTCTGCTATCAAGACCTGCACAGCGCCTTACTGTTGGACCCCAAGCACCCACAAGCCAAGGCGCTGCTCCAGATGATGGTGGACCAAGCCCAGCAGGCGCGTCAGGATGCCGGGATCCTGGCCGTGCAGGGCAAGCTGCAGCACGCCCTGCAGTGCATCAACTGTGCCATCGAGAACAACCCTCTGGACCCCGGCCTCTTCCTCTTCCGGTACTGTGTGGACAGGTCCCCACCTTGGGTCCTGCTGTATGGTCTCAGAAGAGCTTCCCTGGACCTTAGTTTCCCCAAGTAATCCTTCCCTACTCCCTATCAGGATCAAAGCCAGGGAGAGGTCTCACCTACTGTTGCCCTTAGAGGAGGGGGCAGGCAGCCACCTTCATTCCCCTGGGGATCCCGGACCCCCAGGACTACTGAGCATTCATGCTGGGAGGCTCGGTCCAGCTCAGTGGACAAGGCTTGGGTTTGAATCTATGCCTTGCCCCCAGGACTTCTTATGTGATTTGGGGCCATTTAACATGCTTGAGTCTAGGTTTTCTCATATAAACAGTGGGGCAAAACGTCTGTCCCAGGTACAAAAAGGCCTTTGTGTAGAGGTTGGCACGCACGCACCTCCTTCCTAAAAAGATAGATGGAAGCTATTTTTGGGTAAAGCAAAACCACCCATGACCAGCAGGCTAGCCAAGTAGAAAATCCCGAGCCAGCCCCACACCCAAGCCAGCGCAAGAAGATAGGACCCTCCGGCCACAACCCAGGTCAGAAGGCCCAGAGTGGTCACCGTCCTGGCCGGCCGCCCCAGTGGGTGGGGGCGCCTTGGCCTTCATGTCCGTCCCCCACAGGGGCACCATGTACCGCCGGCTCCAGGAGTTTGATGCCGCCGTGGAGGACTTCCTGAAGGCTCTGGACATGATGAGCGAGAGCCAGGAGCGCGCCGTGCAGCAGGCCCAGCGGCAGCTGCTGCTGACCTACAACGACTTCGCCGTGCACTGCTACCTGCAGGGCGCCTACCAGGAGGGCGTGCTGCTGCTCAACAAGGCCCTCAAGGACGAGCAGCAGGAGAAGGGCCTCTACATCAACCGGGGCGGTGAGCAGGGGGCTGCCTGCCCCCCAAGGGCCTGGGCTGGGTCGGTGGGGGAGAGCCTCAGGGCTCTGGGGACACACTCTGCAAAGTGTTGCCTTAGACAAACTGGCTACAGTCTCTTCAGAACACTCAGAACCAGGCTGGGAAAAGGTGCCCCGAGGCCTGGAAAACCTTGGCGGGCACGCTCCACCCGCCCACAGGAGTGGGAGTTGGGGAGTTCACAGCCACAGGGCTCGGGATTCCCCAGAGGGTGCAGCAGGCTGGGCTGGGGCTCCTGGGCACTGGGGTCAGGGGCACACTCAGCCCCTGCATCCATCCCTGGGCCCTAGATTGCTTCTTCCAGCTGGACAACCTGCTCTTTGCGGAGGCCGACTACCAGCAGGCGCTGGCACTGAGCCCGCGGGATGAGGGCGCCAACCTGCGCATGGGGCTGCTACAGGAGAAGATGGGCTTCTGCGAGCAGAGGGGCAGGTACACGCTGCGGGCGGACCCTGGGGCTGGGGGGTGGAGGTGGGGGTTGGCACGGAGCCGCCTGTTGGGACCCCTGGGTCCCAGCTAGGTCTCCTAAACAATGGTTTTAGTTTTCAAGCTTTCGTGAAAAATTCTTCACTTTTTTTCTGAATATCGTTATGGTAATTGCGCTTTATAAAAGAAAACTGAAGTGTTGGGTAATGGATAATTCAGAACCCGAACGTTCCTTCCCATACCTGTTTCCCAACACCAGCCCTGCCACGGGTTGGGTAAAGATACCTCCAGATTGTTTCCTATACATATGTTTTTTTGTTTTTGTTTTTTTAAAGATTTATTTATTTATTTGACGGACAGATCACAAGTAGGCAGAGAGGCAGGCAGAGAGAGGTGGTGGTGGGGGGGATGAGCAGAGAGCCCAATGCAGGGCTCGATCCCAGGACCCTGGGAACATGACCTGAGCCAAAGGCAGAGGCTTTAACCCACTGAGCCACCCAGGCGCCCCAATTTTTTCATTTTTAGCTGCTGGGTTTGTGAGATTCTCGAAAGGTCCTCCTTACTCTAGGATATTAAAAATGTTCACTTTTATTGGGGTCTTGTACTAACATAAGCATTGGAGCCCTTAAGAGTATAGCTGGCAGAGGAAGAACAGAGGGGCATGGTGGAGGTGGGGTAGCAGAGACCAGCCTGATATCCCCCGAACTCCCCAGCGGGTCCCAGGAACTGCCATTTCCCTCCCTGGGGCCCAGCACACAGCAGCTTGGGGTCCACTGTGTCCCGCAGGCAGTTCCATAAGGCGGAGAGCCACTTCTCCATGGCCATCCAGCACAACCCCCAGAAGGCCCAGTACTACCTGTACCGTGCCAGGAGCCGGCAGCTCCTGCAGAACATTTTGGGGGCCCGCCTGGATGTTGCCACCGTCCTGCTTCTCAACCCCAAGCAACCCAAGGTAGGTTCTTGCTGGGCCAGAAGGACGGGCTCCGGAGAAGTCTGGTTTCCTAGCAAAACTACGAGCTGCTGACCCCAGGCAGTTAACTGTGCCAGGTTCCAGCTACTTTCGGTGTTGCTCGGGTTACCCCTCTTCAGCACCCCAGGAGACAGCTAACATCCCCCCACCCACTTGCAGCTGAAGAGGGTAGGGCTCAAAGAAGTCCAAACCCTTGCTCCAGGGCACAAGGCTTTGAGGTCAGTCCCCAAGGTGTCCGAGTGCCCTCTCCCTGGTGGGCCTCTTCACAGGCTCTTCCTGGTTCTGGGGAGGTGGTCTGGTCCTCGAAAGTCAGACATTAGTAAACCCTTCCCACCTCCGCCCTGAGAAGGGCCCTGCGAGGGCAGGGCAGCAACACACCGTCTGTCCCCTGCCCTGGTCCACACCCGGCTCTTTCTGGCAGCTGCTCACCCTGATGGCCAGCCTCTTCCCGGGCATGTCGGTGGAGGATGTGCTTTGCAGCCAGGTGGCCCACCTGGCCAGGCTGCAGTTGGATCGGGTGTTGGAGCAAAGAAGCCTGCAGGCTGGCATCCCTCAAGGCATCGTGGGGCAAGTTCCTCAAGTGGGGGCCATGGGTCGGGAGTGGGAAATGGCTGGGCTTCAAGGCTCCTCCTGCCCCTGCTGCCTCCTCAGGGCCACTCTCCGGACCCTGGGGAGGGTGGGCTGAGTCGGGGGACTCACCCAGCACTCTGGGGCCGTGGCTCAGCAGGCAGCTCAGGGAGCGGGAACTAGAGCGCCAGAAGGCTCGGGCCCTGCAGTTCTGGTGGAAGCCTTTGTTTGGGATCTCTGAAGAGCTCGAGGCCGCTCCCCAGACCCTGACAGGGGAGCCAGCAGGTGCAAAGGCAGCCGAGGCCCTCCACGAGGAGGAAGAGGTGAGTGGGCTATACACGCCAGGCCTACAGTGCTAGAGGTCTGGGGTAGGGCGTAGCCCGCCCGAGCCAGGGCTGAGGGAGGCAGAGTGGCTGGAGGCTGGCATCCGGGCCTGGTTCTGCCACTACTTGGCTGTGTGACTTGGGCTGGGGTCTTTCCGCTGTGAGGTAGGGATGCTACCAATAAGGGGTACCCTTGAGGGAGGGCACAGGGATGTGGGCCCCTTATGGAGAGGCCTCCCCAAACCTTGCCACACTCACCTACATAAATTCTGTGTGCACTGGGCATTGGTGCCAGGATTTTATTCTTAAAACTGTCTCTAAGAACTTTTTGTTGAATGTCACATAAATACAGAAAAGTACACAAATCATCAGTGATTGAGCTGATGAATTTTCAGAGCACACCCATGATACCATTACCTATGAAAGAACACACTCCCAGCTCCCCAAAGCCCCCTCATGCCCCCTGCTAGGCCCCGCCCTTAGCCCAGTGCACCCCCAAGGCTGTCCTGATCCCTGACATCACAACTGAACATGCATGTTCTTCACATCAGTGGACAAGTACGGTGTGCCCTCTTGTCTCGGACTCTCTTCGCTAAGCATGTTTGTGGGATGCATCTAAGTTGACTGCTTGTTCTCATCGCTGGTCGAGAATTCCATCCTACAAAAGTCCCACAGTCTGTCCACTCAGCAGCTGACGGGACAGCAAGTACCTTTGTGTTCAAAGAAAACTTTACGGAAATGAAGTAGATGGGAGATCAACATCCCTTGCCATAAATGGAGGAGGCTAGCCCTAGAGTTCTCTAGTTCACACCGGAACTCAAAAGTCTAAAACTTTGTGCCCCCGCGGAGGTCACTGTGAGCTCCCTCCCTCGGGGAGATGCGGAGCCGGCACGGCCTGCGGGTGGCTGGGGCTCCGCCTGCCCACTCCCCGCACCCACACATCCCTCGCCTGCGGGCGTGCGTGGGCCAGAGGCCGCAGCCAGGAGCCCGGCTGTGGAGTCCCACAGGTCTGGACTCGAGCTCTGCTCCCCTGCTTCTTAGCTCAGTGTTGTGTGCAGGCTGCTTAGGCCCCTGGAGTCTTGGTTCCTGGTCCAGGAAATGGTAAAAGCAGTCGTTCCCTCCCAGATATGTGGGAGGACGAGATGGGGTAGGACGGTAAGCACAGAAAGCTCAGTTCTTCACTAGCCATTCCCCAGGGCACGGCGCTCTACAGTTCCTAGAGGACCGTAATTCGCACTTTGCAGAGGGCAGAACTGAGACCCAAACAGCCTTTCGAATGCTGCCGGCTTTCTCACAGTGCCCTGCCGGTCTAGTCTGACCACTCCCCTTCCTGTCCAGTCTTCACCTCTCCTCCTGCTGCGCGGCCCCTGCTGGGCCCCCTGAAGAGCTCTAAGCTGCCGGCCTTCCTTCCAGAGCTGAGATGCTGGCCCAGGGGGCCTCCCACAGCCAGCAACTTCCCCACCTTTCTTCTGCCCCAGGAAGAGAAGCAGGAGCCCGCAGCCGGCAGGGTGAGGTCCCCGTCCGAAGGCTACCCCGACCAGACCTCTTCAGGCTCCGTCTTCGGCTGTAAGTGCCCAGTCTCCCACCAGGCCCAAGTAAGCCAAAGCAGCAGGGAAGGCCAAGGTCAGGGGTCAGAGACTCCTTGGCCTGCATGTGCATTTGGGCTCTGCTACTAGTTCTGTGACTATAGAGAGGAGGAAGTATCCTGACTTTGAAGGGGACGTGGTGAGCCCTCAGTGCCTCCCCCACATATCCCACGGCCCTGGCCCACCTGCAGGAGTGCTGGGCTGGCTTCATCTGGCAGGCCTGCCCCTAGGCCATGCAAGGCCTCTGGGATACAGGCAAGGGTGAGGCCTATACCTCCTTCCTAGACCTATTTGGGAAGGGCAGCCTAACAGACGCTCTTGGCACGTCCCTCCCAGTCAGGACCATGTCCATCTCAGAGACGTCTACTATTTGCAAGGAATACAGGAGCACCTCAGCCACTGCTGTGACATCCTCCGACTCCTCACTGCTGAAGACTCAATCCTCAGACCTCTTGGAGAACAACAGGGAACACCTAAGCTTGAGCAACAGCCCCCAAAATACCAAGGTCGCCCAAGGGCAGAGCCAGAGCCCCAGCAGGACCAAAGTCACCCAGAGCCAGAACCAGAGCCCCAGCAGGACCAAGGTCACCCAGAGCCAGAGCCAGAACCCCAGCAAGACAGAGTCCACCCAGGGCCAGAGCCAGAGGCCCAGCAAGACCAAAGCTACCCAGGGCCACAGCCAGAGGCCCAGCAAGACAGAGGCCATCCAGGACAAGAGCCGGAGCCCCAGCAAGATGGAGGTTGCCCAGGGCCAGGGCCAGAGCCAGAGCCCCAGCAGGACCAAAGCCACCCAGGGCCAGAGCCGGAGCCCCAGTAGGACCAAGGCTGCCCAGGGCCAGAGCCGGAGGCCCAGCAGGATAAAGGCTACCCAGGGCCAGGGTCGGAGCTCCAAAAGGACAAAGGTCACACAGGGCCAGAGCCAGAGTTCCAGCCAGACTGAAGCCACCCGAAGCCCAAGACAAAAACCTAACAAGACCAAGGCCACTCAGGGCCCAAGGCAGAGGCTTAGGAAGATCAAGGCTGCCCACAGCTGGCGTGGGGGACTGATCCGAAGTTCTAGCAGGACCAAGGATTTCTATGATCCAAGTTGGAGCCCCAGCAACACTGAGGCCACTCAGGACCAATGCCAAAGGTCCAGCAAGACCACGGCTGCCCAGAGCTGGAGCCAGAACACAAGCCCAGGTTATAGCAAGACCGAGGACACCTGGGGACTGAACCCAACTCTCAGAAAACCCCAGACCAGAGGGCCTGAGCCAGAACCCCAGAAGAATCAAGACTGGCCCAGCAGTGACACTGATCCCTGAAGGGGCCATTCAGCCCCCTCACTTGTTGCTGGGTATGGGAGAGATTCTAACCGCCATATATACTCACTGGCACCCAGCAAAAGGGCCTCCTTCCAGAGCAATTAGATACCTCAGCCAACAGTCCTCTGGTCCCATGGCTAAGTTTATTGTGTTTGTTCTCTTATAAAATTAAAAACTTTAAAAACCAGGCCCAAGTGGCAGCTTGAGTCCCTCTGTCCATGAAGACTGAGAAGTCTCAGCCTGGCTTTACAGTGCTGGGACACAGTGTGCAATGGAGGGTTGAGAGTACAGCGCCAGAGCACAGGGCCAAGAGTAACAGGCCGCAGAGAGAGAGCAGCCAGGAGCCACAGTCCCTGAGTTACAATTCACATCTTGAGAAGGCTTAGGCTGGAGGGTAAGGGCAAGGTCAAGTCTCACGGAAGTTCTGGGGTCACCAGTGGTTTCTCTAGGGAAGGAAGCAAAGGCTAAGAGGCCCTGAGACCAATTAAGACGGCAGGGCCCTCAGTCCCATGGCCTAGCCGGCATGCCTCCTCATCTTCACTTTGGGCTCCGGGTCTCATTCTCCAGGAGGCTCAGGAAAAGGGTCCCTACTGCAGAGGCCGCAGGGCTTTCCTGCACGGCCTGGCCCAGGAGAGGAGAGGCAAGGACACCATCTGGAGAGTCAGAGGAAGAAGGCAATTCTGGAGGCCACAGTCTTGCAGCCGTTGGAGGAAAAGAGCTGTTCTTCCTCAGGAAAGAAGGTGGTGCTGTCCAGCACAGCCTGGACGACCTCCTCCCTTGGCTCCAGACCCAGCTGGGCCAGCTCGTTGAGCACGCAGTGCCGCACGTGGTGCCGCTGCAATGGTAGGAAGGGCACCAGGACGTCCAAGAGATGCTCTTCCACGATGCCTGAGCGCCAGAAGCCATCTGTAGGAAGGGGCAATGTGGGAAGGGTCTGTGGTGGGCTCAGGGAGGCCGCAAGACAGCCAGGAGCGCCAAAGCCTGGCTGAGAAGTACCAGGTCGGTGGGCAACGCATCAGACCCTGGGAGAACCTGGTCCAGCCCGGTGGACCTGGGTGTGAAGCCTCAGCCTGTTGAAGTTACCCCAGGGGTGCAGGAAGGGGGCCTCCCGAGCCGAACTCACGATGCGGGTTGTCCAGCACAGCCTGGGAGATGACGGGCTCCAGCTCCTGCAGGCGGATCTCCTCCCGGTCCCGGCGGCTGCGCCACGCCTCCAGGGCCACCTGGTTGATCTGCTCGCCACCAGTGTTGCTGAAACCATGGGGTACACGGGCCTCGGCTCAGACCATGGGGGCCGGGATTTGGCCCTTGCTTCCCACGTGCCACCCAACACGACCTGAGTCTGGGCACCCAGCTCAGTACCAGAAGGAGCCAAACCTGCTAAAAACACACCATAGGAACCACTTCCCCTCTCCAGAGCCCATGTCTAAAACCATGATGCCTGGAAATTCACCTATATGTGTCATGCACTTTAAAGTTTACAAAACACTTTTGGGTCCCTTAACTGACTTTCTCACCCCTGGCCTCTAGGAGGACGGTGGGGCATTAATCTTGGCCCTGCTGTGCAGAAGAGGAGATGCGAGTTCAGAGAGTGAACTGCCCAAGGAAAATTTGCCCAAGGAGTGATTTGCCCAAGGAAACACAGATAGAACTCTTGGAGGTGGGACTAGAATTCTAGTCCGATTTTTCCCAGGTCTGTGTCCTCCTGGCCACGAAAGAGGGAAAATTCCTTCCACAAAGAAACAGTGAGGATCCCAAAGACTGAGCCCAGATTGGGCTTTGAGAATGTCAAAATTTGAGCAACAGTCTCACAGCCAGTGTGAGGGGCTTTGGGAAGCCCCAACTGGGCCCAGGTGGAAAGGTATTCTGGTGTGGGACCACCGACCAAGACTGGATAGCTAAGACCTTGGACAAATGTCCCTGCGCCATGCTGCTGCAAAGCTGGGCCCACCTGATGAAGATGAAGATGGCTTTGCGATAGTTGGTCCCAAACACAACCCAGGAGGAGCCCAGGAAGGGTAGCAAGACCTCCATCAGGCCTGGGGCCAGCTTGTCCATCTCGTCAAAGAGGAAGAGGGAGCGGCTGCAGGCTGTGAGGTTCCCCTGGACCCAGCTCTTAAGATCTTTCTGCAGGGGAGAGGCAGGAGTTTGAAGGCACCTAGAGATACTCCTCTCACCTGAGACTTCTTCCCAAGGCAAGAACTAATCCCTTTTCCAGGAAGGTATGGTCTCCCAGAGAGAACTAATCCCTTCATGGGGCTGTTGGCAAAACTGTGGCCCCAAGGGGTCAGAGACTTGTTCAAGCTCACACACAGCAAGTCAGCAAGCTCACAGAGACTCAAACTCAGGCCTCACATCCGCCGTTCAGGATTCCTTCTCTGACACCTCCTACTTTCCATAAAAGAGGAACGTTCCCTTCTGCTCCCTGAACCTTTTCAATAATGTTGACACCTGAAACAGACCAGCCTGGCAAGAACGCTGCAATTGACAAGGAGAGTAGTAGTAAGAGGTACTATTTACTGAATGCTTACTCTGAGCCTCAAATTGGGACTATGCTTTCCAGAAAGGTAACAATGCAGACTGGCACTAATACCTGCAACCATACAATCCCATGTCCCTTGTCCATCTCCAGCTCTGTTCACAATGGGTCCTGGGAGCTGTGTGGCCTGAAGTGAGTGACCCCCACACCCTCCCGAGACTTGACTCATTCACTCCCTAGGGTCTGCCACCCCCACATGCAGGTGAATGGTGGTCCAGGATGCCACCAGCCTACCTTGTAACGCTCCATGTGGCTGTTGTGGGGGAAGTGGATGACGGGGGAAAAGTGGTGAACATGGGGGCTGCGGAGGCCACCCCGGAAGAGGTAGTGCGCCAGCAGGGAGCTCACATAGGACTTGCCAGTGCCTGTCCAGCCATGCAGGGAGAGAACCAGTGGCTTGGTAGGAGCTGGGTCCTGCACGAAGGCCTTCAGTGCCTTCACCACCAATGCCCTGGCCAAGTGCTGGCCAGCCAGGTGCTGGGCCAGGTCACACTCCAGACCTAGGGCCACAAGGACAGTATCAGAGTTGAAGACACACACTTGCCACAGAAGAGTGTGGGGAGGAGTCATGTCTGGTACCTGGTCTAGGGATCCCTGTGTCTCGGACACTTTTGCAAACCGTCTTTGGAAAGGGAGTGAGTGGGGCCCTTGGGGACTCCGGCTGCAGCAGCCACCATCATACCTGACTTGGCTCTGCAGCGCTCCCACCGGCCCTCTGCACTGTGCTTAGCTCTAAGGGGCTGCTGCAAGCTGTCAACAGGTTTGGCCCTAAGACTCCTGCCCATTCCCAAGGAAGGCTTCTCCCCTGATGGCCAGTCCACTGTGGAGGCCCAGTGCTCCCCACAAGGCCCTGCTGTCAAATGCCTTTCTCCACCCTGGCAAGGCTCTGCCTGGACCCCAAACATGCTTTCCCAAACCATCGCCCCAACTCCAGTATTCCAGGTTCTCAGTCCCTCAGCGCGGGCCACACGGAAGTCTGCGGGTCCCGCCCCTCGGTTCCACCCTCCAGGTCAAGCCCGGGGACAACCCAAAGTCTGAAGGCTCCCCGGTCCACCGGCGCCTGTGCTCCGGGCTCCTACGGCTCCTCACCCTGAAAGTCGGGCTGGAAGTCACATTCGCAGAAGCTGCCGAAGTGGCAATGCACCGAAGTCAGGTCCCAGGCGGCGGCCGCGGCTGAGACCAACCCCAGCAACCCGAGGAGCGAGCCCCAGGGCCGGCAGCCGCGAGACCCAGCCGCCATGCGGGTGAGGCGGGAGCCGAATGTGGGCCAACCGCCCCTCCCTAGGACCACAATTCCCGGCGTGCCTCTCCCGGCGGCAGCCATCTTCCGTAGACTACAACTCCCGGCTTCCCCCGGAAAGTCCCGAACCAACGTCTCGTCGCAGGACTGGAAAGTAGCCTCTAGGGGGAGCCCGCGAACCGTCCCAATCCAGCGGCGGCCCGCGTTTCCATAGCGACGGTAACTAGGAGACCATAATAGCGCCGAAAGAATAATAAAGGATTATGACCACAAAGGGTGACGTAACAATTGTAGCAAAAACTTGTGCGACACCTTAAACCTTGCAAAGCGCCTTTTCCATGCTCTTTTTTTTTATATATGACAAAAGAGCGCTCAGTAATAGAGCTTTTCATAAGCACCTACTAGGTGCCATTAGTGTCGGTGCCCTGTATGTCTTACGATAACAGCGACTGCCATACAGAGAAACGGTGAAATTTCAATGAGGTACAGGCACATAAAGTGTTTTGACTCGGAAAGTAATCAATAAATGATTATTGGCAATCCATTATGTATGAAACATGGCAGTTCCCTACCTAGCAACTACTCTGCCCTAAGTGCTTTACCATCAATACTAAGGAATCGATTTTGTTATTGTCCTTATTTTATTGAGGAGGAAACTGGGATCCAAGGGGTTAAGCCTCTGTCCAAGGCTAGTAAATAATAGAAATGAACCCAAGTCAAGCTGCTGTCAGAGTTCTGATGCACTATGTTATCCAGCCTCTCTTGGTCAAAGGATTTAGAAGGCAAAGGATCTGAGGCTTTTCATATTTTTATATGAGGCTTTTCATATTCAGTGAACAGGCTCCCCAGGCCTCCAGCCTGGACAGGAATCGTGTTGATCCACATTGCCTACCTCCCCTACCCATCAAGACAACTGCTTTCATGGCCCTTCTTAGAGATTCCCTGATCCACCCACCCTACACACACACACACACACACACACACACACACACACACACACACACGGAGCTTTCTGGGACCCTGAAAAGAAATAAGTAGGTCCTTATGTTGAGAAAAGTAAAGTACTCCAGGTTAGGACACCCAGGTTCCAGCCTTCCTCATTCTGCCACTGCGACCCCCAGGAGAGTGCCTTCTCCCTCCAGTTCTATTTTCCAAGGGAGAGTTGGAATCCTAAATTTCAACAAGCCCTTCCACTCCAAACATCTGGAGTGCTTTGTTGTGCATTTGCGGGAACCTTTGCTGGGATTTCCAAAGCAGGAAACAGGGTGGGATTGGGCTGGCCAGGATTTCTCCCCTTGGTTGGAATTAGCAGGTTCTTTCCCCCACTAGTCTGTGAGCTCCTCCAGGACGGGGACCAGGTTTTAGTATTGGCTGTAACTCTGGTTTGTGGTAGGTAGAATCTGGAATGTCCCAGGTGCTAAACAAGTATTTACTGTTTAATTTTTCCACCTTTCATCTGAGAGAAAAGACACTTCCTTCCACCAGGGCCCCCTGAGAGACAGAAGAAAGAGTCATAAAAGTTTATTATATGAAAGAAAGAACATGGCTTCTGTACATCTATTTACAGAACAGACAGATTTACAACCGGGTGGAGGGCTTGGTGTCCGTTGCGGGCAAATGCCCAGAGAAGAGTGGGGAGGCTTGAGGACCCTCCCATGGCTCGAACACAGGGCACCTCAGCAGGAAGGGGAGAAGCAGAAGCTGGAGGGAGGAACAGGGTTCCGGTTCTTCCTGAAAGGATACTTGGTGGGCACGCAGCGGGTGGGATGGAGCCCTGGGGTCCTGCAGGACCCTGGAGGGGCAAGGGAGATCCTGGTTTGAGCCCAGAACATTCTTGGGCTGATCACAGTGTCTCTGGGGTGCTCTGGGGAGAGGTCTGTGCCCCTCTGTCCCTGTTGCTGCCCGCAGCTGCAGAGGGGAGGGGTGCGTGGGGGTCACAGCTCACTGGAGCGGACGGCAGGTTCCAGTTTGTGGGACAGGGCAGTGAGGACTTTGTCGAACTTCTCATAGCGCCGGGCCTGGTTGTTGCTGGCGCCCTGGCTGCCCCAGAGGAGGCGCATCTGGAACTCAGTGCTGAACACCTCCAAGAGCTCTGGCTGGGCCTGGAACCCTGCGAGGCAGCAGAGCACAGGGGTCAGGGGACGACCATCCAGCAGGGAAGGCTGGGGGTCCTGCCCAAAGCCAACACATCCCACAGGGCCCTCTTCCTAGGGGCCTTCCCCCACCCCCCAGCTCCATCAGGAATCCAACAAGGTTTGTCAATGAACAGGACCATGTCTGCAACATATAATATTTAAATTATTGAAGATAAAATATGAATGTCCATTTGGAGGGATTTTTCTTTTCTTTTCTGTATTTTTTCTGTACGTTCCAAACTTCTTGCTAAGAAATGTACACATTTTGCAAATAAGTTTTTGTTAGTTAAGAAAAAAAATGTTTTGTTTGCTCTGAAAAAGAAAGAGGCAGGAAACACAAACACTAGGATGTTGTCACCATGTGCCTCTGGGTGACTGGGGGGATTTTGTTTTTTTCTTTTTGCTCAGCTGTAATTTCCAGTTTGCCTACAGTGAAACTTTATGACTTAAATAATGCCTAAAGCAGTAAAAGCTGGATTACTTGAGGCCACTTCCTCTCTGCTCTTTTCACTCTCCCTTTCCCCTAGACTGGGAGCTCCTTGAAGGCAGGGTAGGTGCGTCTCAGCCCCAGGCCAAGGGCTCAGCCCCAGGCAAACAAACTTGTAGAATAATCCCTTAGGAAGTCCACTTCACAGAGAGAAAACAGAGGCTCAAAGAAAGATCCACAGCTAGAGCACTCTCTGAATCACCTCCATGTCCCTGCACCCCCACCCGGGCCTTCCACTCACGGCTGAACTGGTAAGCGAGCGAAAAACAGGGAAAAGGAAAAGAAGCAGGGAGTGGCGCCAGACGAGGAATTGGAGAAACGTTAAGGGGGTTTTGGTGGAAAGGAGAGAACAAGTCCGGTGGAGGGAGGCCCAGCCAGCATCAACAGTGACTATCTCGACCCCCAGATGTGACCTGTGACTCACCCTGCAGCTTGACCTCCGCGTTGGTGTGATACAGGCCTCCGTGGTGGGCCACGGTGCGGGCAGCCTCCAGGTGGGCCAGTACCACCTCCACGCCGTGCTCTGTGCTGCCCCAGGGCTCAGGGCCCTCTGCTGGGGCCGAGTCACACTCAAGAAGAGTGATAAGCGGCAGCACGTGCGGAAACGTAGTATTGCTCAGCGGTGGGCCTTCTGTGGGGGGGGGGAGGCAGGCGCTTAGAGGCCTTGGAGTCCCCACTGTCCCCAGGGGCGCTCCAGGCAGAGAGGCGGAGCAGGGGGTGGGTCTGCCTGAGGTCCCTGGCTGAGCACCCCCAGGGCTCCCGACTCCCAAGACTAGCACCCCTCCTTTTGGAATCCTCCAGCTGAAACCACTGCAGCCTTGGCACCGCCCTCAGGGCTGAGCCTGGTCCTGGCCACCCTGCAGACGGTAGCCAGATATAGAAAGTGAGCTCAAGATTAGCCTGTGCAGCGCTCAGTTTCTGGTGGGTCCTCATCTACACTGGGAGAGTCTTTGCCGGCCCAGAGAGGGGCTGGAGCCTGCCCAACGTCACACAGCAAGGTGGGAGAGGTACCTTTGCCCTCGTTGAGGCTCTTGAGAAATGGCTTGAGCTTTTTCTCGTAGAGGATGGCACCTTCTGTGTGTCGCTGCCGAAGGGTCACCCATGTCTGCTCCAGCCGGGCAATCTGGGGAGAGGAGACTGTGAACACCCAGCCAGGGAAGGGGCCCACATTGGCCACAGGCCACCCTCCTGAATGGACACACCCAGATGTGGGATAATAGTTATGACCGTGGTCACCTTTCATGTACCTGGGACAGTGCTGGCTGCTCTTCACGGTCCTCGTGAGGCCTTGCAACAGCTCGTTTTACAGAGGAGGGAACTAAGGCTCAGCTAGGGGAATGACTTGCCCAAGGTCATCCCAAAACTAGGTAGCAGAGCTGGGAGTCAACCCACAGCTTCTGGGACCCTGTTGTTACTACTGACTAGGCACAGGAGAGCAAGTGTAGAGTGTGGACAAGATTCAGGCTGTGAAACCAATCTGCTTCTAATCCTGACCTTTTCAGTCTGACTGTGTGACCTCAGGCCAAGTACTGCTGTACATCAGTTTCTCCATAAATAAAATGGGACAATAAAGGCACTTATTTCCCAAGATTGTTCTGACGAATCAATACTTACAAAGTACTTAATGTAGCACCTAGCATATATCAAGTGCCCGCTGAATTATAGCCATTTTATATTTATTCTTGAGATTCACATAATGCTCCTCACTCATTTTGCAGGTGGGTAAACTGAGACCCAAAGAAGGGGCAAGACTTGGTCTTGGAGCAGGTCACTTCAGAGAATCCAGCTACCCTTTCACCGATGCTGCCAAAAAGTCCCCGATTCGAACATTTCCCGGGGCTCCTCCAGACAACGACTTCCTGAAGCTCAGCTCGATATGCGCCCTTCCGTACCTGAGCCATATCGAGGGCGCCCATGACCGCCGCGAAGCTGAACATGTTGCCCATGGTCCCTCGAAGTTCAGCCGCCAGCTGGATGGTCTTGTGCAGAAGCACTGCCCGCTCCTCCGCCGAGCCCGTGCAGCCCAGGATGTCCACGGCCAGCATGATGGACATGGTGTGGAACCTGTCTCAGCGGCCAGGTCAGAGGGGAGGGGTCCTGTCACTAGTTCCGTTTGGCGCGCGAGGAGCAGAGGGCCAAGCCCAAAGTGACAGGTGGGAAAGGGTCAATGAGATTAGGGGGCGCGGCCAGAGTGAGAGAAAGCCAGGCTAAGGGCTTCTGATTGGTCGCTGTAACTCGGGGGCGGGGCCCGAGACTTCTGAGCGCGGGGCTGAGGGGCTTGTGATGATCAATGGAATTCACGCGGCAGAATAGTTTTAAGAAAGAGTAGCCAGAGCTGATGGGCGGGGCTAAGGCTCGCGCAGTGTGATTGGTCAAGAGGGTGCAAAAGATGAATTCGGAGACAGGACTCAGGCTTTGGGGAAACTGGGATTGCTTGGAGCCGGACACCGAGCAGTTGCGATTCGTCAATGGATAGGAGGCTTAGCCCGAACCCCATGGGAGCCGGGCTGAGACACTCTGATTGGCCAGCCTGTCATAGCAAAAGGGCAGCAAGGTAGCCCGGGGGATTCCCCGCGAGTCCCCGGGTGCAGGTGCTTGCCTTACCTTTCTAGCAGGTCTAGTCGTAGCTGCCGGCCATGGGGGAGGGTGAGCAGCTCCATGCCCCAGCGGACTCCCATTAGGGTCTGCATCTCCTTGGTAACGCCCAGTATCCTAGCAACCTGCAAGGACGCCCAGAGGGCTGATTAATTTCCTGTCGCGGCTGGCCCAAGCCATCTGGGAGTCAGAGAGCTTTCTCTAGGAGGGCAGCCTGGCTGGGATAACGAGTTTGAATTCCAGCTCTCTCCCTCTGCCATGGAGCAAATGAACATTTCCCCCTCATTTCCGTGGAATGAGGGATAAATGGAAAAATGCCCAGAGCTGTTTGATATGTGCCAAAGGTGACCAGGACACCTTTATTCCAGAAGGCAAACCTGAGGCCCAGGGAGGGAAAAGGACTTGTCGTCCAAGGTCACACACTGGGCCAGAACTAATCCCATCATGCCTAGCACTCTCCATAGGACAATATCTCTGCGTTCCTTACTTGCTTCCTGAGCTGAGAGACCAGTGCGGGGCCCCCACATAAAGTAATCAGTGCCCCCCTCCAAACTTCAGAGGGAGAAATTGAGGTGCAGAGAGAGTCTGGGTCCTTAGATAGTCAAGATTCATTCAAAGGCCAGGCATTGACAGTTTGAGTCTAGGTTCTGAGTTTTGCTTATTTTGTCCATGGGGGGTGGGGGGGGTGGGGGCAGGTGGTTTTGGTTTTTTACATTCTCTGGAACAGCCAGGCTGACTCTCACCAGGCTGAAAAAGTACCCCAGGGAGCTCTGGCTTTCAGCGCTGCCCAGTTCCAGTACCAAACTGGAGGAAGCAAGAATATCTTGTGGTGGTGGTGGTGTTGCTGCTGTTTTTAGGAGAAAATGGAGGCCCAGAGAGGTAAAGTGATCAGCCCAGAGTCATACAGCAAGTAAGGGACAGCTACGAAGCCAGAAGCCAGGCCTACTCACTATACTTTGGGCATTTAGCAGCCAACTCTTCACCCCCTGCACCCCTGTCCCAAAGCTGCAGGACAGAGGTGCTCTCCCTGCCCCAGTGCTCACCCAGCACCTACCAGGCAGTCAACCTTGGTGACGTGCCGGGCCAGCGTCCGGGCATCCACCTCTGCTAGCAGCTCCTTGACCTTGCGCAGGAGGCCCACCTCCAGTGGCCGGTTATCCTTGGGGATCAATAGTGACTGGAAGGTGGCGGGGTTGAAGGAAGAGGTGGCTTCCACAACAGGGGCTATGAAGGCCCTGCCCCAGTCCCCTTCGGGTGCCCCATTCTCTGACAGTTCCTTTAGCCTCTCCCCATAGCTCCTGGCCTGCCGGCTGGAGGCCTCAGCTGTTGCCCGCTCTCGACTGCCACGAACAGGAGGCCGCAGCTGGCAGTAAGGGCCGGAGTCCGGGTCACTGTAGCTGCTGAGCGACGGGGATGGGGAGGCTTTGGAGAGAGTGTGGGAGGGGCTGGCATAGGGGCCCTTGTCTGACTCCCCAGGGGGCTTCGGGGCACTTCCGGGACACAGCTGGGGTTCACTGGAGCGGCGGGTGACAGGGGAGGCAGGCAGCACTGTGGCTGATGGAGCTGCAGGGGTGGCGTGGACACGGGTCACTGCAGGGAAAGAAAGGGCGAAGACTAGTTACCAGTGAAGTTCTCCCTCCCTCTCCCCAAAGGACAGGCCCCACCCACCCTATAGAGGGGACGTTCCCACCTCCCTGCACTCAGGCCAGGCCCAGCAGCCTTGGGTAAAAGGACCAGCCTGAAGGATACTCTCAAAGGGCCTGGACCTCAGGAGTTTGCTCTCTCCTCCCCTAAGGCTGCTGCAGCCTTGGGGAACCACTGGACTACTTAGAGGATCTTGCCGTGATTCAGGGATGCTAATAAGCACTTGCTGGAGTTCATTGTGTGGAATTATTTCTCGATGAATTAGCAATGATTTATTGAGTGCACATGTGCCAGGAGCTGGTGACACGCTGGCCATACACTGGTCATCAGCAGTCAAACCATCATCCAAAATGAGAGGTGATGTATATTGAACTCTTCCTGCCTGTGAGGTCCTTCTCCATACCTTAGCCCATTTAACCCTGCCATCCTGGGAAGTAAGTCCTTCCATGATCCTCATTCTACAAGGAGAAAACTGAGGCTCAGAGAGGTCACCTGCCCTGCCTCAAGTCACTACCCAGCACATGGGAGAGCTGGGCTTTAAATCCTCAGTCCTCTGAGGACTGAGGACCTCACTCTGCCGTGTTGCTCAGAAAATGTCCACTAAATCATTTGGGGCAAGGATTGGTAACTTTTGCACTCGGGGGAGTTGGTTCGAAGGCAAGTTTGCAGGTATGACCAGTTAGCGAGCCTGTGTTTAGGGAAGAATGTGTGACAACCCATGGAGACAACGTCGGTAGTTCTGCTGACTGGTTTTTCGGGTAAATTCTTGCAAGCATCACTCTCAGTAAAGAGGTAGAAACACACATAAGCACACATGGTAACAGAAGTCGTCATGGACAGACAGAGCGTGGTGCACACACAAGGTCACTCCCATGGGATTCCCCCCACTGGCCCCACCCCCTCCACTGGCCATACCAGTACTGTAGGCAGGGGAGCTGGGACTCTCGGAGATGGGTGACATGGGCGAGTGCAGGTCCGGGATCTGGTCCATGCTGAGGGCACAGTTGCGGATAGATTCCCGGGGGTGGGGCAGTGAGGTGCTGTGGAGCAGATACCTTCATGAGCAAAGAGCCCAGAGAGTGGGGTCCTCAGCTGGCCTTGGGATCCCCACCTCTGCCTCCATCCTAAGTTGACTGAACTTCAGAGGTAGAAAAGGCTTGGAGAGTGTAGTACTAATTGACAAGTATAAGACTGAAGCCCAGAGTGGAGAGTGTTTGTATAGTCCACTACCCACACAACTGCTCTCTTCCGTGAGAACCTTGCCTCCAACTCAAGAGAACTACCTGGGAAGCAGGCCTAGTAGAAAGGATGGGGAGCTGGAGGGAACCGGGCCCACAAGGCTGGCACCTCCTCACTGCTCCTATACTATGCTCAGAATGCCAGATGCTGGCACCATTACAGGCACTGATTCTAAATCACAGGCAAAGTACCCACGGAGAATCCAACCAGCAATTCCTTGGCCGATCGCACCCAGCCCAGGCCTAGGGAGATGGGCCCTATCCAAGTGCTGGCGGCACAGGAGGGCAGGTCTCTTTGCAAACAATAAGGGAGGCCATAGAAATAAGGGGTACAGACTTTGGAGTTGCAGACCTGGGTTTGAATCTCAGTCCTCCCGCTCTTCAGCAAGTGGCTTCCCCTCTCGACACCTGTTCCCTGGTCTGTAAAGTGGGGGTGTGCACAGGAGCTCCCTCCCAGGAGGACATAGGGATTGATGAACTTGGGCGCAGACAGCCCTCCGCACAGGGCGGGGGGGCACACTAGGGCCTCAGGAATGGGTCCCTGCTGTGGCTTTTTCCAGCCTCATCTCACCCAGCCCCAGAGGCACCTGGGCCTCATTAAAGTATTGCTGGAAACGTCCCATCCCCCTCAGCTTCGCAAGCTGAAGCCCTCTGCTCTGATGCATGCCTTGGCCTAGCTAGGTGCGGGACGGCGGGGGCAGCAGCTGCAGGGACAGAGCAGCCCTCAGGGGGTTCCCCTAGGCTGGGGGTCTATCTGCACAAGGGCCCTTTATCAGTAGGAACATGGTCATGAGAGGAGAGCGACAGGGCCCAGGCGGCTTAGGTGAGGCTGTCACCTGGGCCTGGCTGCCGACAAACCCGGCACTCAGCCCTCCTCTGCCTCCTCCTCTTCCTCGAAAGGCTCCAGGACAGTCATCCGCCCAGTTCACAGTGGCCTGGCCTCCCGCCCCTCACCAGCACTCTGCAGACAGATACCCCCACTTGCCAAAGGGGGAGACCGAGGCCCAGCGTGGGGCCCCTTCTTACCTGGTGGGGCAGCCATCACTGCGGGTAACCTTGTCGGCGGTGAGTCCATCGGTCATGGTGACGCTGCGCCGCTTCATGTGGCTGCCTTTGGGGCCCGAGGGGCTGGCGGGGCTGGCCGCCTTGCCGCTGCCCTGGCCAAGGCCATAACAGGCCTCCAGGTAGCGCAGCGGGAAGGTGCGGTTCACAGGGCAGTAGATGATGGCACCGCTCTGCTCCGACACGGCCTTGCGGCTGCCCACATGGTACCGCACGAGGGCGGGCACATGGTCGAAGCTCTCCTGCTCGAACAGGTACTGGATGTGGGTGTAGCTCTCCCCGGCCTTCACCACCACCTTGTTGATCTTGAAGTGCAGGGCCTGGTTGTGCCAGCGGCACGTGAGCACATAGTCACCCAGGCTGGTGAGAGAGTCCCGGATGAGGAAGTCACCGTTGCGCCGCACCAGGGTCTCTGATACCTGTGGGAGGTAGTGATCAGTCTGGAGCAGGGCCAGGGCCGGGGAGGGTCCGACCTGGGATCTGGGGGACACAGGGAACAGAGATATCTAAAGCTTAGGAAGGGGGATGCAGTGACCCAGATTCGGAGGGGCAACTCAGCCACAGGCCCTGGGTCTGGTGCACGGAGCCTTGGGAATGGGAGGACATGACACCCTGGAATGTAAGGCACAGGGACTACAGAGTCTGGGGGGCTGGGGGTCACCATGACCTGAAACTCGGTTCTCAGGGCTCATGTTGGACAGGGTGAATTCCCAATCCTCATTCCTCCAAGCACCCAGGGTTCTCCCAGTTCTCTGGGCCTTTGTACCCTCAAGCTGTCCTCTCTGCCCAGACATCCTTCCCACCCTGCCCACTTGGTGAAGTCCTGTCCGTCTCTCACTGGCCTCTGTCCTCAGTGCTCCCTCCTGAGGGCCAGCCTACATTCTCTGCTGGACGCTCCATTCCTGCATTTCTTCCACTGGGCTCTAACTGGACCACCAGCCCTTGGAGGGGGGCACCACCCATTTTCTCTCCACATTCTTGGTGCCCAGCACAGGGCCTGGCAGAGTCAATGCTTGACAAAGAACCATAGCATGAATGAAAGAGGGAACAGGTGACTATCAGCCCATCTGGGCCTCAGCGCAGAAACTCAACTTTGCCAAAACTGAGAATCCTAGGCCCTGACACTCACTAACCAAACAAACAAGAGGCTAATGTACAGACCCATGGGAAAAAAAAAAACAGTTAAAAATAATAGTAATAATATCAGCCATAACAACACTAACAATAACATTGAGCCCCCCGCATGTCAGACCTCAGGGTAACACTTTGTGGGCATTGTTTTATTTATTCTCATGATAACCCTTTAAGGCAGGTACTGTCATTACCGTCCATGTCATAGAAGAAACGGAGGCTCAGAGAGGGGAAGTGACTTGGGCAAGGTCACACAGTTAGTAAATGAGTTCAACCTCACTGCAGTCTACTCGGACTGAATCCACCAAGCAGTGAGTCACAGCCTCTCTGGGCAGAGCTGGCCGAGGTGGTGGGTGACCTCTGGGGCTGAGGTCCCACCCAGGGACCACTCACCTCACGGGGGATGCGGCCATGATACCAGGCATGACTGCGGAGATCTGTGCTGCTGAGTTTGAGTTCCTCCTCCAACTCCTTGTGTAGCTTCTCAGGGGAGGAGTCCAAGATGTACTTCTCCTTGGAGAACTGGGCAGGAGACAGAAGAAAGTTGGCATCTGGTCTGAAGCCCTCTTCCTTATTCTCTCCCAACCCCTCCCTACCCCAGGTGAGCTGCTTCCATCCCAGGACCCTGGGAAAACTTAGGCACCAGAAAGGTCCTCAGCTGTTTGAGTCCCCAGCCCAGCAGGAGTAAGGAAATCTCAGTTAGCCCTACTGTGTTCCAGGCTCTGTGCTACGTGCTAAGACTAAATGAGACAATAAACAAATCAGGCCCTGTCCTCAAGGAAGCTCATAGTCTAGGCAGGGGAAGGAAACTAGACAGGAACATTGCAGCAGAATAAGGTCAGCACCACGCTACTGGACAGCGGCAAAGAGCCCTGTGACTTTTAGAAGATAAAGTATAGGGAAGAAGGACTGGTCCAGGAAGCCTTCCTGGAGGGAATGGTGACAACGAAATACTCACTCTGCACCAAAAACATCAAACTGATCTTGCATGGGGGAGAGGTAGGATTTCTACAGGTGGATCTGGGAGGTAAGGCAGCAGGTACCCAGGCAAAGGCAAGGACAGAAACATAGGGCTGGGCGGATGAGGACACATTCTGGGATGCAAAATTATACATTGGAAGGGTGGAGGAGGCAGCTATAAACAGAGAAGCAGAGGCCCCCACACAGACGTTTCTGCTGTCCTTTATAATTCCCAAGGCCCTTTCCTCCTTGCCATCTTTTTTTTTTTTTTTAAGATTTTATTTATTTGACAGAGATCACAGGTAGGCAGAGAGGCAGGCAGAGAGAGGAAGGGAAGCAGGCTCCCTGCTGAGCAGAGAGCCCGACGTGGGGCTTGATCCCAGGACCCCGGGATCATGACCTGAGCCGAAGGCAGAGGCTTTAACCCACTGAGCCACCCAGGTGCCCCTCCTCCTTGCCATCTTTTTTTTTTTTTTTAAGATTTTATTTGTTTATTTGACAGAGAGAGATCACAAGTAGACAGAGAGGCAGGCAGAGAGAGAGAGGGAAGCAGGCTTCCTGCTGAGCAGAGAGCCCGATGCGGGACTCGATCCCAGGACCCTGAGATCATGACCTGAGCTGAAGGCAGCGGCTTAACCCACTGAGCCACCCAGGTGCCCCCTCCTTGCCATCTTAAGCAATCCTGGCCAGATGGCAAAACTGTGGCTAAGCAGGGAAGCCAAAGATCACTCAATGGAGATATGCCCAGGACTCCCCCCCTTCCACCTGCTGAAGGGGGAGATGCCTGGTTTCCTGGCTACCGTGGCCCAGGGTTGGATACTTAAGAGCAGAAGGAAGAGAGTTCCTGTTGCCAGGTGCAGCCCTACCATGAAGCCCAGCCCAACCCTGGCTGTGCCCTGTTGAGTTCTCTGGGCCTCAGTTTTCTCCTCTATAAAATGGGTATTATGACAGAAACCTGTCTCCTTGGGTTGCAAGGATGAAAGGAGACAATACTCCAGAGTACTGTGACTAGCCCACAGATGTCCTCGTCACTGTGAGCACATGTGACATTGCTTCCTCTCCCACTCCCCAACTCCGGGCCCCAAAGATAGCTGTTCTAGGACAGGTAGATCTGGCCCCAAACTGGCCAGACAGCAAGACAGAAGAAAGGGGGCTCTAGAGGGCCTGGCCTCAGTCCAAGTGACAGTCTCTTTCCAGGACCCCCTACTCACCAGGGTCCAAGGGTCCTCCAATCCACTCCCTGCGTTTTCACACCTTCCAAAGATGTCTGAGCCTAACTCTGCAGCTCCATTCTCCACCCCTCTGCTCTTACACTGCCTCAGTTTACCAGAATCCACACTGCTCCCAAGATACCCTAATTCCCAGTTTCAGTGATATCTAGAGTCTCTGACTTCACTGTTTCAACAGTGATTAAACTCCCACTCTGAGACAGGTCCTGTGTCAGTGCTAAGGCCACAAGGTCATCAGGACAGATGACCTCTGAGAGAGTCACACAGACACTGACAACAAACTCCAGTTTTCTGAGTGTCCAGGAATGCACAGAGGGCTCTGGGAGCAGCTAAGAGTGTCCCTCCTCATCTAGTCAGGGATTTGAGTCCCTGAAGACGGGATATTTCCACGGAGGCCTGCAGAAGGACGGCATGAGCCCAGCAAAAGCATCAGGGCAGGGAAAGACAAGAAAACAGGTGGGCAGGTTAGAGTTTCCGGGAAGACAGTGGCAGAGTCAGGGCCCTGCGGGCAGAGTCAAGGTCCTGGGGCAGGGGGAAGCTTCAAAAGGGCAGAGATGATGGGGACGGGTGGATCAGGGCTGTCAGGCTACTATGGGGAGCTGTGGGGTTTACCCAGAGGCCACAGCAGAGCCACAAAGCATTTTTCAAGATTCAGTCTGGTGTGTGGAGAGTGGCTTAGTGCTTTCAGGCACTGGCAAGAAGGGTGGGGCACAGGGGTGGGGACCAGGGAAAAGAGTGTTTCAGTAGCCATTGATCATGACAGGGAAGAGGGTGGAGGGGTCAGAGAGGATTTCAGATGATTTCAGAGATCCTGGGAGGACAATGAGACAGCTCTCCAAGGTGAGCAAAGCTGGAGCAGGAGGAGCTTGGTGATAGACCCATCAAAACTGGGGCTTTGAGGAGCCCGTAGGGCTCTGGGGACAGATGGTGGGGGTCAACGATGACACAGGTGCTCAGGAAAAGACAGGTCCTGGGATGGGGATTCCATCCACTCTCTACCCAGGGTAGAAACTGATACCCCCAAACGGTAGGAAGGCTGAGGGCTGAACTGAATTTGCGGAGGTCCTCAGGTACCTACACTTCTGTATGGAGTTCTCTATTCTTTGGGGTCCTTGGCCTCCCTCCCTACACTACGCCACACCCTGGGGAGGGAAGACTGGGAGTCACAAGGGAGAAAACACCAGTACTTCAGACTTCTGGGGTTCTTCTCTTTCACAAAAAGCATGTAACTGAGAACTCACCCCAGTTCCACAGCGGGAGTGAGATGGACATGGGGAAAAGAAGGGGAGTGGGCTGTGAGGTAAAGAACCTGGCCACAAGACGCTGCCTACCACTGTGTGACCTTGAGCTAGTCATTTTTCCTCTCTGAGCCTGGGTAGCATCTGTAAACGGGAGGGGGTGGGGGGGGTGGGGAGACTGGTCTCCACTTTTCCAGCCATAATCAATGGTCCCAGGGAGAATCTGGGGGAACCAACTTGGTGCTCCCACACACCCGAGAGTGGGGAACCCTAGGGTCCTGTGCCCTCCTCCTCACTCTCGACCAGGGGGTCCCCAGCTCCCAAGACTGGTTGGGGGGGGATGGTGAGAGTTGCTGGCTGGGGCGCGGATGCGGCATCCTTGCGCTCGGCGCACCGCTATTGGCCAGAGATGATCTCACCGCCTCCCCGCCTGCGCGCGCCTGATTGGCCGGTGCGGGGATGCTGCGCTCCGCTGCCGGCGGGGCCGTCATTCAGGCGGGCTCGGAGCGTGTGTATGTGAGCCCCGGGGAGTGCAGGGGTGACGCGGCCGGCGTCCCCCAGGGGGCTCCGGAGGGAAAAGCGCAGAGACCTCCGGTCAGGGTCTTAACCCCTAACCCCCAGCCCGCGCCCAGCAAGCCCCCTCCAGCTTCCTACGGTCTGGCAACCCCAAGCAAGGCCATCCCCAGATGATGCTCCGCAGAGGCGGGGTCCGGGTCCGCCCCTCCACCCCCTTCCGTTTAACCCCTTCACCGCCGCGGCGCGGTCCCGCACTGCCCGGCCGCTTGGGCTGGGAGCCCCGCTCCCCGAGCCTGCCCCAGCCCACCTAGAGGGCGGGAGAGTGGCGGGCGCTCTGGCCCTAGCCCCGGCACCCGCAGCACCCCTTCAGCTTCCCTCCCCTCACTCAGCCTTCGGACCCCAGCCCAGCGCTCCCTGTACAATGGGGAGCCAGGCTGCCCGGGTCAGCCGCAGGGGCCGGAGCGCTCGCCCGAGTACCGGCAGGACGCCGGGGACCGCAGCTCCCAGGACCCAGTGCCCCAGCTCAGCTCCGCCTGCGGAGGCGGCAGGACCCGCGAGTCCCGGGAGCGGCAGCCGGGACCCTCACCCTGCGGAGCGGCGGGGCGCCCAGAGGTGAAGCTGGGGCGACCCCGCCCCCTCGTGCAGCCCCTGCCCCTGCCCCTGCCCCTGCCCCTGCCCCGCCAGACCCTGCGAGGCGCCACCGGGCTGCGGCTCCCGGCCCCCGGGCCCCGGGCGGAGCGGCCGGGGTCTCAGCCCAGAGCGCCTGGCGGGAGCCAAGCCACCCCCTCACCTGCACCTGCACGAAGGAGCCGCGGTAGAAGCAGCAGGCTGCGGCCGAAAGGGCACTCCACAGGCTGCACCGCTCGGTCATGGTGGGGGCAGGCGTCCGGGGCCGGGCCGGTGCGGGGGGCGGCGGCCGGCGGGGCAGGGGCGCGGGGAGCGACCGGGCTGGGCACCGGCTGCGCGTGCCTCTCGGCGGCGCGATTACCTCATCGCCTTGGCGGGGGAGGAGCGGGGAGGCGGGGCGGGGAGACCCCACCCTCCCGCCGGTCAGGGGAGGGGAGGGGGCCATTGTTCCTCCCTCCGCCCGCCCTTCGCTCCCCGCCCCTAGCCCCCCGCGCTCCAGCCCCGCAGGGCTGCCTGGAGCCTGGGGACGCGGGGCAGAAGACCTGCCTAGGGGGGCCATCACGGGGGTTGGGGGGGACAGGGGGCAGCGGGATGAGTTGGGGATGTCTGGGCCCGGGAGTGGGGGGGGTTCCTGGCTCCCCCAACTCACCGTACCTACCTTCACTAACCTGGAGCGGGCAAAGACTTTGAATTAAATCATATCTAAAGCTGGAGAAATCCCTGTATGCCTTTGACCAAATCCTTTGTGGCCTCTGGAAATCTCCCAGAGCCCAGGATTTCTCACCTCTGAATGGGAATCAGGGACTCGGGCAGAGAACGGCGGGATGCTGAACTGACAGACTCGGGGTGTGGAGAGCCAGTAGATGCTTAGGGCACCAACCTGGGTTCAGCTAGCATGGGGGGGGGGGGCACCTCCACCCCAGCAGCCCCTTCTCTTGGAGGTGGGATTCACTCATCTGGAAAACATACCTGTGCTGAGCTCACAGAGCTCTTCTGAGCCTTGCCTGAGTCTGATGCCTGTTAAGTTGTCATGCATAAAGTAAATGCTCAATAAATGCGTGCTATTATTGCCAAGCTTATTGTCTTACAATCTGGACTTTTGTCCTAGGAATAAGGCAGGGGGTGGGGGTCATCACTGACTCTGCACCAGTCAGGCCAAGGGTACAAATCCTTTTGACAGGCTGTGTGACCTTAGGGAGGTAAGTCCACCTCTCTGGGCCTCAGCTGTTCAATTGTTTTCTAAAAATACACCAGAAGCTCTGAGCACTGGAGTGTGGAATTTTATGGCCTTGGAACTTCAGAACCCTTGACTTGGAATCGAATTGATCACATTGTGGTCTGAGAAACCTGGAGTTCTGAAAGCTAGTACCTCAGGGCAGGAATGGATGGTTGGTAACTAACTATTGATTCTACCACCGTCTGAGGCTTGAAGCTAAAACTAATGTTCTTTTGACTTCGTCCTTTAATTAGTTCCAGTGAACAGGTATTATTTCCTTCATAGTATTTTAAAGTACATGTTCAGACCCATAAACTAAAGGAAAAATACAAGTTACTAATCCTCATAAGGATCTTACTACCATCAGTGATGGAGACCTCACTCCCTTGCCAGGGATCTGAAAACCGTGTGTCCCCTGTGTCCTACCCACTGGCTTTGGTCCTGGTTCTCCCTGAGGACTCCATCACCCTATGGTGTAAGGGCTCCCAATGAAGAGCCAGGGCCCAGATTCCAGGAGCAGCTCCAGCTCAACTTATCGCCACCCTGGGTTACACTTCCTGGGCTCACCCAGCTTGCTTTCTGACCTTGCCCACACCCTTCCCTCTGCTTGGACCACTCTCCTGTCTATCTCTGCTTATCTTTGCCCCTCTTCAGCTTTTCCTTTGGGAACGGGATGTTGGTGAACATTCCTGGTCAAGTGCAATGGCTTGGTTTCAATGCCTCCTCCTCCAGAGAGCCTTCCTTGATCTCCCCCTCCCCATCTCCCAAACGGAAAGTCATCCCCTACCTGCTGAGCTCCAGTGGCTTCCTATCTGAGGTTTCTGATGACAGTGAGGGCAGATATCTGAGCACTTCCCATGCTCCCTCATGGCCCATTCCTTACATGGGGCTTTATAGGCAGCATCTCAGGTAATGGAATGTCTCCAGGGTCAGCAGCCAGGCCAGCCAGCTCTAGTCCAGGTCCAGCAACCCTACTTATGGGCATGGACTCATTGAACCCACAGCAACCCTAGTTGGGATCAAATAAAATTGGATTGCAATCTCAGTTCTGCCCCGTAGTTGCTGTGTGGCTGTGGGCAACTCACTGTGCATCTCTGGGCCCCAAGTTCCCCATATGTACATGGGTACAGGAAGGCCTTCCCTGCCCAGTGATGAGGGAGGAAGTCAAAGACCTCATTCATGTACAGAGCTCAGCACTGTCTCCCCTCCCTGGCTGGCAGCCAGCACAGGGCTCTGCACACAGTAGGCTCACAAGATGTTATGTTACTCTCTTTATCGTCATTGTTTCAAAGCTGCATTCCTAACATTCCCAATGCCCAGGACAAATTAAGCTTGTGGTAAATGTGAGCCGGGCCCATTCTCCGTGATGAAAACTGAGCCATCTTTTCTGGCTCCCACCTCTCAACACCAGCATATGCTCAGAGAGTGGGTGGGAATTGGGTCTGAGCATGGAGACACCCCAGGACCCAGGGCAGCTGGCAGCGGGGGGACGGGGAGGGGAGTGAGTCTGGTGGTAATAAACACTGGGTTTGGGGTCAAGAGAGAATGATGGCAGGCATGGGAAGAAGATCCTTGGGAGTGAAACCAGACCCAAGCGCTGCCCGGACCCTGAGACCCTCTCCTCTTGGGAACAGGCGGTGAGGTATGGCCCCTAACAAGGCTCAGAAAAGAACTCTGCCCTTCAGGGAGCAGGCCTTGAACCATCTGGTGTCCCCTGATTGGCCCCGCTTACCTTCACATAGTCCCCGCCAGCCTCTGGCTCTCCAGCAACCCTGGAAGAAGAGAAGAGAGGTGAATGTCCCCACCTTTTCCTGGCCCCCCGGCTGTCAGCACCTGGCCTGAGCAGCCAAGAAGGCTCATCCTGAAGACAAGAGGGGGCATGGCAGCTGGTAACACTTACTGGAATCTGCTGGGAGGGCTGCTGCTCCACTCACCAGCTGTGCAACCCTGGACAAGTCCCCTCACCTCTCTGAGCCTGGGTTTCCTACCTGGAAGTTGGGGACAATGCAGCCTTGGCCTCACTGGGTTGTTGCAAGGACCCTGGGAGCTGATCAGTGTTACATGCCTAACCACAGGCCCGCTTCCTGAATCATGCTGTCTTCACCCGGCGTCAGGATGCTCAAGGGTTCTTACCCTACTCCACTCCAAATGCTGGTGGCCCTGGGCTGGGGCTCAGCCTCCTGCCCACCCCCCCTCCACCCTCCACTCTCTGCCCAGTGCAGAAGGGCCCACTCAGCAGCATGCTGAGCTGTGACTGTTGGCCGTGGTGGAATTGACCCCTTCCACCTTCAGGGGCCCGGAGTGACTATCCTTTCCAGGTGCCAGATTAATACTATCCTTCCTCGTGAGGGGGCTTGACCTTAACTGCCAGCCCTTCTCTGATGCAGCCCAGAACTGCCCCTTCAATTCCTGCCCGGTAAACCCAACTGCCTCCTTAGCATCTCCTCTTGGATGTCTGAAGTCGCTGCGACTTGTCACATCTAAAGCAGGATGGTCGCTACCCGCCCCCCTGCTGCCACGCCCCTGCTCCCCACATCTGCTTGCCACCTCAGTTGATGTCAGCTGCACCCTTGTTGCTTTCCTTGGCCAAAAAAATCTGCACTCATCTGTGCCTCCTCTTCCACTCGCCCTCCACACCCACCCCTTCAGGAAATCCTGCAGCTCTGCTTTCAAAATAGATCCTGACCACGTCTCTCCGAGAGGCAGTCCTTTCCCCACCCAGGAGCTCCGTGTGCTCTGTGGAGCACACAGCAAGCAGCCTTCTCGCAGGCTCTCTGCTGTTCTCACGCCCCACTCGGCCTCCACTCCACCCCCAGAGGCACTCAGGTGAGAACAAGCAGGTCACGTGCACACACAGTGCCTCCTCTCCCCGAACAAGATCTAAACCCCTCTCTGTGGCCCGCAAATGGCTGGCTATGTAATGTAGCACCCAGTCCAGAACTTTCTTCCCTTGTGAGTTAAGAGGTTATGCCGGAAAAACAGGCATCAACGGGGCCATATGTTCCCCAGCCTACAAGGCCTTGTGTAGCCTGGGGGTGCCTGACCACCTACCTTGCCAACCCCAACATGCCTCGCTCACTCATTCTATCCCTCATTCTGGCCAGATGCATTGGCCTCTTTGCCAAGTTCACTCTTGCGAGAGAGCCTTTGCCCTTGCTATTCTCTGCCTAGAACTCCCTGCTTCCAGACCTTCACACAGCTCGCCTCACCCCTAGTTTATTTGGGGCTCTGCTTAATGTCCCTCATCAGAGAAGCCATCCCTGACCACCCGACCTAGAACAGTCCCTGGTCCTTCACTCTCTGTCTTCAGCCCTCCTTTATTTTCCTCAGCCTCTGCCTGAAATGATCATTTTACATTTACCTGTTGACTGTTTTTTTTAAAGATTTGATTTATTTGTTTGACAGAGATCACAAGTAGGCAGAGAGAGAGAAGTAGGCCCCCCATTGAGCAGGGAGCCCCATGCGGGGCTCGATCCCAGGACTCTGGGATCATGACCTGAGCCGAAGACAGAGGCTGAACCCACTGAGCCACTCAGGTGCCCCTACCTGTTGACTGTTAATTACCTGAAACCTTCATGAGGGCATTGACTTTGTCTCATTGTTAAGCCCCCAGCACAGTGCCTGGCACATAGTAGGAGCTTACGATTGCTTAAACGAATACGTGAATAATAAGTACCCAAGCAGTGTGTTGATCACTAGCGTTAGGATTAATTTTGTCAGGCTGGGCCCTGGTTTTCTGGCTAGGTCAGGCCTCTGTAGTCCCATCTGCAAAACAGGGAGGGAAGTCAAACTCTGGGGAACTGCTTCCTCCCATCCAGAAGCCCAATGTTTAAATTTGAATGTCATAAATTTAATAAAATAGATTGAATTTAAAACATACACCCAAAAATCTGAGCTTTAAAAATCACAGATGAGGTGTGGATTCCCGGGGCAGAATTCCACACACACGGCGCCCCCTGCTTTTGAGGCTAGGGGCTCCTCACTGAGAAGCTGTCTGACAGCCCTCCCTGTTCTGACATTCTAGAGTCCTTGCTGTTAACCTTCCCTTCTGCAAAGTCCTTCCTGACTTCAAAACATAGTCTCTCAAGCTCCATGCAGCCCAGCCACAGTCTTTTTGGTTCTCTCTGCCTAGCAGCGGTGGGAGCGAGGTGGAGTAGGGACCCCTCCCCTGCGCGGTTCACCTCTGCCAGCTTCTCCGGGTGAGGTGTCCCATCCCAGAGTTTCCTGCCATTCAGTCCCGGAAATCCGCTCACTGCTGGGAACAGATTGGCCAGGACACTGGGATCGCCCCAGTGCTTCCTCCTGCTTCCTGTCTCCTTCCCCTTGGGCCCTGGGAGGGAACAGAGCCTTGTGGGGGGGGCGGGGGTGACTGCACCAAGATACAAGTGGGCTGGGGTGGTCAGAGCCAATGGGGGAGCTCAGGGCAGAGGCCGAGACTCAGGAAGCTGCTGGCTTGGGGCTACACTTAGTCCCTATCACCTCACCCTGCCCCTCTACAACACTCCAGGATTTCCAAGACTTAATGTCACCATGTATGCCTCTGATTCACTGTTATCATTTGCCTGGACTATTGCCACACCTCATCACTGGCCTCCCTGCCTCTCTGTGTGTTGTTTGTGACTTGTACTCACTCCAACAGCCAGAGCACTCTATTAAAGTGAAAGTCAGATCACAGATCTCCTTTGCTCCAACCCACTGGAGTGGCCCCCAGTGTCACTCAGAGTAAGGGCTAAAGTCCTCCTGAGAGCCTTACAGACTGGCTTCTCACCATCTCTCACACCCGATGTCCTACGCTGCTCCCTTCTCTCTCGCTGCTCCAGCCATGCTAAGCTTCTTGCTGGCTTTTGTCCCCACCTCAGGGCCTTTGCACTTTCAGTTCCCTCTGCTGGAATACTTTCCCCCCAGGTACCACTGAGCTCAGACCCTGCCCTCCATCAGGTCTTTACTAAAATGTCCCCGTCTCAGTGAGGCTTTCCCCTGCCACCCATCTGAGAGTGTGAACTTCTCAACACTCCCCACCTCCCTTCCCTCTTTACTTTCCCTCTGTATTTCTTCTCTAAAGCACTTCATGGAACCTGTCATGCATTGACTATCTTCTTCCCCTAGAACACAAGCTCTGAGAGGACAGGAATTGGGATCTGCCAAGAGCAGGGCCAGCTACCCCATAAAGATTTTTTTGAATGAATACATGTCACACAGCAGCCCCATGCAACAAGATCTGGTTCTCAAGGCTCAGTTCTCTGTAGCCGGCACAGTCAGCCGTCCCTTCTCTCTCCCCTTGCTCCTCCTTGCACTCTAGCCTTCTTGCACTTCCTCCAAAGAGCTCTTCTCCCTCCAGCCTTAGGGCCTTTGCACATAACCTTCCCTTCTGCAAAGTCCTTCCTGACTTCAAAACATAGTCTCTCAAGCTGCAGCCCAGCCACAACCTTTTTGATTCCCTCTGCTTGGAACCTCCTCTCTCCCTTAGGGCCAGAGTGGTTCTGCCAACTTGGCCTTCAGATCTCAGTGTGCTTGGAGAGTTCTAGAACATTCTCCCTCCCATTGTAATGATCAAATGCAGAAATCAAAGCTTCCATTTTTAAAAACTCAGCTTTATCAATTAATTAACTTACTTTTTTAAAAAAGATTTTATTTATTTATTTGACAGAGAGAGAGAGAGAGAGATCACAAGTAGGCAGAAAGGCAGGCAGAGAGAGGGGGGAAGCAGGCTCCCTGCTGAGCAGACAGCCCCATGCGGGACTCGATCCCAGGACCCTGAGATCATGACCTGAGCTGAAGACAGAGGCTTTACCCACTGAGCCACCCAGGCGCCCTAATTAACTTTTTTATTTCACGGACTTAAAAGGTACTTCCTCTCTAATATTAGTGGTGAAATCAATTAATAAATAATACTGACAATTGAGCTAAATCAGTCCCATTAATCAGCCACATTAATTATTCAAATAACCAAGCCCTTTAATTGCCTGTATTAACTGATTTGTTCTGATAACTGATACCACTTATTGCATACATTAGCTTAATTAATTGGATTAATGAGCAGTAATTAGAGCCCATTATCCTTTATTTCCCCAACACAGGTTTAAATCTGAGCTTTACTTTCAAGGCTCCATCCTGGCCTGGGAGAAACAGTGAGGCTCCCCAAGGGATCCTGGAGGAGAGGCAGTAGAGAGCAGCTGCTGTCCCATCCCACCTTGGCCCTCCGTTGCCGTGGGTCGCCTTGCCCTCTGCAGAGGTTGGCTGCCCGTCCATCATCTCTCTGACCCCGTTTGTCCCCTTGGAGCTCCAGGCCTGGCTATGTGGCTACTTCCCCAACCTCTGCCTCCTGCTTCTCACCTTTCCCCCTGCCTCCACCTCTCTGGGATCCAACTGCCTCTTCTGTAAAGGGGGCCAGAGGGGCCATAGGATCCTGAGAAGGAAGGATGCGGAGTTCTCAAAGCCCATGAGGGTCCTCTTGCTGCCCCAGCTCCCAGCCATGGAGATCTCCCATTCTGCCCTTCCTGGGGGACTGAAGATTCTTCCCACCCTTACTCCGACCATCGCTCAGCCCAGCAGAAAAGCAATACTGCTCTATACTCCTTAGCTTTTAAAGGCCCTGGGCAGAGAGAGCAGAGGCAGAAAGCCCTGTCTTTCCCTGGGGCACCTTGCCGTGGGCCCTTTGGGATTCTCTGCCAGGTAGGCTCTTGGCTTTAGCCCCTGCCCTGCCCCACGTCCTATAAGATGGGCCCGCACTGTCTTGAAGACATCCTGCTCCTTCTCCACAATTCTGTGCTCTCGGTCTTCTTGACTATGGTGAGTTTGCCAGCAGGTGTTCAAAGAGGGGACCAGCCCTGTGAGGATAGGGCAGGTGGGAGCCACTCTTTCCAGGGCAGAACCGAGGCTTTTGAGCCCTGAGAGCTACTGACTGGTACTCAGAATCTGCTGGCAAAGAGCAAAGGGGTGGGCCCGGGCGGAGTGCTGCCTGAATGTCGGTAATCTGGAGGCCCTGCTCGAGAGGGGAGAAAACTGAAGTTTGTCACTTGGTCCAGGACACACAGCTGGCTCAGACTAGATCTGGATTGGCTCCCCTTTGTTCCTTGCACGAGGCAGGCTCCCCTGGAAAAAGGGGCGTGCTCTAGGGTGGACGGGAGGAGAAGGTGGGGAGGGGAGGGCAAAGAAAATGAATATTTCAACTGGACCACAAGCCCAGAATCGGCATCAAGAAGAAATGGAGCCGGGATGGGGGGAGAGAACCCTCTCGGGCTCTGGAGAAGGCCCTCTGTTGGGAGGGAGGAAGCAGCGTGACCCTGGGCATGTTCCCCTCATTGGGCCTCAGTGAACTTTTCTGTAACATGGGTGTGCTGAGAGCAAGAGCAGTTCCTTGTACGGGTATCTCTCTGGACCAAGCTCAGGACAAACGCTCTACCTCATCTAGTCCTCACAGTGCCCCTATGATGCAGGTGCTGTTATTGTCCCTGATACCCAGATGGGGAAACTGAGGGTCAGACAGGGCAAGGGAGTTGCTCAATGTTGTGCAGTCAGCGACATACCCAACTTCCTCCCCATACTCCACAGAGGTCCAGGATTCTGCAAACAAGGTCCCCTGAGAGTTTTTGGGGGGATGTGGCTCCAGCTGGGGGTGGGGGTACAGTCCATCCTTCCTGAGCCAGCGTAGTTCCCACAGCCTGAGGCATCCGGGGGTCTTGAGGACTGTGAGAAAGTCTCCACAGGAAATGAGAGTGGGGAGCAGCTGGGCCCCTTCCGAAGACAAGGACCAGCCGCCCAGAGCCTGAGGAGGCCGAACAGGCTGGGCCCACCACAGCCCCCTCCCCTGGTGGGTAATCACTACCAGATGCCCAGCAGCTGACGTCACTCTGCAGGGCCGAGAGGGTCGTGGGACTCTGGGGAGTGCTGGGAATTCTTGGACCAGAATCAACATTCCAAAAGGAAATGGGATGGGGGGTGGGGATGGTTCTGGGCCTGTTCTCAGTGCCTGGCACAGGGCTGGATGTCCCCAGCTCTCCTGTGGGGTGCCACCTTCTCCAAGTCTCCCTCTGAACAGCCCTGGGAGGGGGGGTGGAGGGGCCTGGGGCTCTATGATCTGGCAGGGAGGAAAGGACGCTTGGGCGTGACACTTTACAATGAGTAGAACTGCATTCAAACCCTCCTCAAAGGAGAGGTCCTCATAAAACCTAAGTCAGAGTGAGGCCCTCCTCTGCTCAAGGCCAGCGATGGCTGCATCTCCCTGGGTCAAAGCCAGGTCCTTGTCAGGCCATCCAGGCCTTCCATCATCTGAACCTGTTTCCTCTCTGACCTCGCCTCCCACCACTCCACTCCCCAGCCTCCCATCTTCATCTCCTCCAGGCACTGTGGGTCTCAGCTGCTCCTCAAACATGCCAAGGATGCTCCTACCTCAGGGCCTTTGTACCTGCTGTTCCTTTGGTCTGGCACACTCTTCCCTAGATATCAAGAGGGTTTGTTCCCTCATCCCTTTGTTCAAACATCACCTCAAAGAGACCTTTCTCCTGGCTAACTTTTCCAAATTGCTACCACCAGACACTCCCCTGCTACAACCAATTCCCTTAGCTGATTTCAATATTTCTCCCAGCACTTCTTTCTTCTGCATGACCATATAACACCTCGTCTTATCGTGTCTCCCCCACACTGGAACGGGGCTCCATGACAGCAGGGTTTTGTCTGCTCTGCTCACTGCTCTCTCCCCAAAACTTGCAAGAGTGTCTAGGGCATAGTTGCATCGCAGTAAATATTAAAGTGAATGAAATTCCAACTCAACTAAATGTGTCATCTCAAGCAAGTTATTAACCTCATAAAACCTCTGTGCCTTCACCTGTAAAATGAGCTCCCATTATCTTTATTCCACGGGCTTATGGGAGGTCATTTAAGTAACATAGAAATGGCTTTGAGATTTGTACTTGGTGGGAGGTGAAATGTGGCCTAATGACTTGGGGGTTGGTCAAGCCTAGGATCAAATCTAGGCTCTGACACTTTATCTCTCTGTGACCCCAGGAAAATCCCTTCCCCTCTCTGAGTCTTGCTTTCCTCCCTGGTAAAATAAGCAGTAGAGGTTCCTCTTCACAGGGCCTAGGTGGTAGACGGTACCCGTGGGGTGCTTCAGGCAGGGTCTGGCTGGTTGTGAGCCAGATCTTGACCTCTTGGAGGACCCTGACCTGACAATTCCTGTGTGCGGGCAGGGGTGTGGGTGGAAGGTGCTGGGGCCTCCTTCCTTCACTGGGCCTCCCCTTCCTCCTCCTTAACACGGACTGAAGGGGAGGGTGTCAGGGCTCTTTGGACCTGCTATTTTCCCGCAGAAGGCTGAGGTGCCAGGAGTAGGGGGGTAGGGTGAGGCGAGGTTGGTGCTCTCCTTTCTGGGAGCTAAAGGCCCTTCAGCCCTTGTGCTCCTGGCCCCTCCTCCCTCCTTCCTCCTCATCCCCCATGATCTCAGCAGGAACGGGGCACCAGGAAACTCCTGCAGCCTCACCTCTTCCCCTTCCTTCCTTCTACTCCAGGTGCACCCTGCCTCCCAGGGGGAAGGGGAGGGACACAATCTACCTCGGCCAAGACCATTCCCTGAGCAGCCACTGAGATGACTCCCTTGGGACACTTGGGAATGGGGCCCCAGTCTTGCTCAGTGGCAATTCTCAAATACCCTCCTCTCCAAACTGTATGTATCATCTGAGACCATCCGGTTCCATCCGGGCTGCTGAGAGATTGAGGCCCAGAGTAGGGCAGGGCAAATCTGAGATCATACAGGCAGAGCAGCTCTCCGGGACACAGTGCTGGGCTTTGGGGGCTCCTGGAAGAAACTCTAATTCCTGGTCTCCTGCTTGGCCTGGAGGGCAAGTGGGACACTGGGTCTCAGGACAGCAGGAGGGGCTCAATCAGATCTGCTAACCCCACCCCCCTCGGGACCATTGGACACTGGCTGATTGGGGGAATGGAAGGCAGTCTGTCTATTTCCTCTGCCTTCTGTAGGCCAGGCCTGATGTGGCTGCCAGGAAAACTGAGGCCCCTGACCACAGGAAGGAAGCCTGGGTGCTAGACTTGATATCCTCAAAGTTTCTCAGGACCATCCCTCCCAGAGGGCTCTATTGGAGGGTAAGGGGCTGCCCATTCTTTAAAGGCACGAGCCAGGAGGCGGAGTTCTAATCTATACTGTCGCAAACCGGCCAAGTAAATCCCCCTTTCCTCATCTGTAAAATGGGGACGATAATTGTGTCCCTCTTCTGGGGCTGTTGTGAGGAGTAAATGCGCAACCTGTGCGAGGACAAGACAGGCACAGAATTACACCAGAAGGAAGCTTAAAAGTCCCTGATGCTAACTGGGCATCCTGCTTTGTTGGTTGCCCCAAGGGCACTGATTTCCCCTCAAACCATTCCCAGCCCCGCAGGCCCTCCTCCGGGCCAGCTCGGTCACTCACCCTCTAGGTCCCAGTGCGGGGCATCTTCGTCCCACTGCAGTCATGGTTCCCCGCGGTCACTGCCTGCAGCCTGTACACCTTCTCAGCCCGACGGCTCCCGCCTTTCTCAGGCCACGAAGCTGTGGAGCTCAGTGCCCAACTCCGGGGGCGGAGCCTGACCTGTAGACCACGCCCCGGGCACGCCCCTCGTCGGGCGGGGGCCGCTCCACAGCCTACATCACCAGCCGGGAAGGACACGCCCCGCTTCGAGCACGCCCCTCCGCCTCCTGTCTCGCTCCGCCCTCTCCCCCCATCTGTCAGCGTCCAGGGCCCGGAAGGCCACGCCCCCCGAGCACACCCTTCCTCCTCGGCCCGCCCAGTTCCAACGCCCGCCTCCCCCGACTGCTCGCCGCGCAGCCTGAAAAGGACACGCCCCTAGACACGCCCCTCCACGCTCCCGGCTCCTGCAAACTCCCAATGCACATCTCAGACTTTAGGATGCCTCAGAACCGCCCGGAACCTATCAGACCCTCTCCCTTACATACAATCCTTGCTACTCCACGCCCAAGTAGGGCTGGACTAAGCCTGGAGCAATTAGAGACGAAGGAGAAGCACTTACACTTTGTGGTGTGCCAAGCCCTGTGCTAAGATTTTACAAGTCCTGTATGTTATTCTTGAATTCCCCTCACGCCCCTACAAGGTAGGTGCTCTCATTATGCCCTTCCATCAAACGAGGAAACTGAGGCTCAGAGAAGGGAACAGACTTATCCAAGGTCATGCAGTCAGTAAGAGGCAGAGTCTGGGCTGGATTCATTCTGCAGCTTTATAATATCTTTCTCCCCATTGAACAGCGGTCTAGACACAATTACCCCAGCACACAGAAGCTGTGCTTGGTGTCTTGGAGAAAATCCACTGAAGGGAGGTCCCAGAACCAGCCCTAGAATTATTTTTGCTCACCTGGGGGTTTTTTCCTCTTTATTTCAAGAAGCACATCTGATGGGTGTGGTTTAGACACAGGCTGTGAGGGTTGAAAAGCTGGAGACTGCTATGGTTGGGATTGAACGGGTTCCCCAAGGGCACAAGCACACAGCTGTAGGTCTTCAAAGGTGGTGGGTACAATGTGAGACGTGAGTGTGTGGCCACAGGAGACAAGCAGTTTTCTGCTCAAATCCAGCTCTACCACATTGGGTGCGTCTCAGTTTCCCCATCTGTAAGATGGGGCTAATGACAGATGCTTTTGCAGAATCGTCCGTGAGTACCATTGGTTTTGACACCCAGTAGAACTGGTGCGTCTTAAATGGGAGCTAGGGTCATACCATCACAATCTGTATTTTTGCATGAATCCGACTCACCCAATAAACAAGTTAAGTGGCAACCAAGGGGAGCAGTGTTGTCCAGTAGAACTAAAGGTAGTGATCTGGGTGTGGGGGCCCTGGGCGGGGATCTAGTGACTGGGTCTGGCACCCAGCTAGCCGCTGAGGGCCCCTGCTAGAGGCTGTCTAGGGCAAGTCAGGTGGGTCTTAGTTCAAATACCACTTTGTCATTTGCCAGATGTGCAACCTGACTGGGGCAGACAACTTCCCTCTCTGAATCTCAACTTCCTTGTCCATCGTATGGAAACAACAGAATGTCCCCCCCCCCGCCAGGTGTTTTTGTTTTGTTTTGTTTTTGAGAATTAATTGCAAGTGGAGGATGAAGCACAGTGCCTGGTCTGTAGTAAGTTAATGTGTAGGGCTTTTATCCCCCCCCCCAATGTGGGGGGGTCCTCTCCAGGCTCTATTGGCAGGAGGCTTAGAGACACCATCCCTGCAGCTCCCACCCTCCCCTTACCCCAGTGGGCACCAACCTTTCTGGAGGCACATTCCTGGGGCCTCTTTCTTCTTTTCCGTCTGCCCTGAGATCCTCAGGCTTTTCCGTGGGGCCCATTGCCGAAGGATTGGGTCCCACTGCTAGGGTGTCCTCCAGGGGGACACTGGTCCCCACCACCATCTCCTTGGTTGCCTCGAAGCCTGGAGGGTTGGGCAGACCGTGGGGCGCCAAGTGGGGTTGGTCCACTTCCTTTGTCTCCTGGGTAGCCTGTTGGTCCCGAGCCTTCCTGGTGCTGAGACGAGGCATGGTGCCCATGTGGCTGTACATGGCACTGGAGCGGGCATAGGCTGGGGGGCTTTTGGGGACAGTGACCATGTCATCCTGTGTAGCCTCAAAGGGGTCAGGCTCCAGATGGGACCCGAGACTGAGGGTGGTTGAGGACCGTTTCAGAGTGAAGGACCGAGGGAGGTTGGAGAGACTCCCGAGCCCCTTGAACTTGAAGAACTCTGGTGGGTGGGGGGAAGGAGGCAAAGGGTTAATGTCTACAGCATTAATAATAACAATAAAAAACACATGTTGTTCCTCTTATAGAGGGTTCAGGGAGAGTCAGGGCTTCACAGACATCCCCTCTGTTATGGTATAACCCAGCAGCTCTAGAGTCCTGGCTTTCAATCCCTTCTCTTGCACATCCTAGCTGTGTCACCTTAGGCAAGTTGCTTGACCTTTCTGAGCCCCATTCTCCACATCGGCAAAATAGAGACTGTAGTACCCACTTCCTGTGGGCAGCAGGAGGTCTGAAGGAAAGCTTCTAAGTAACATAATAGCCTGCCTAAGTCATGGAGACAATGATGGTGATCACAGCAAATGCCTCTGGTCGGTCAGATATGCTGCAGGCATCAATTCCCAGCACAGTTCAATGGCACAAGTTAAATTTCCCTTTTTGCAGATGAGGAAGTGCGGGTTAGAGCTGTGGAGGGCACCGCCCCAGGTGGCATAGCCAGGGAGTGAAGCGAAGCATATTTGTGTGCTTGGGGAGAGGAGGGGCGGGTGTGTGTGTGTGTGTGTGTGTGTGTGTGTGTGTGAGGCGTGTTTGAGCACCTGGGGTGGAGGGGGTTGTTGGGAGGCTGGGGGGCCCACTCTCTGAGGTTCTGTCCTTCCTGTCAGCTGAGTGCTCCTTCCTGACTCAAGCTGCCGGGCTTGGGTGATACTATCTTCTCATTTCCGCAGGAGAGCGTGTGAGTTCCCTCCATCCCCCACCCCCCACCCCCCACTGTGGGACTGCCCCTCCTTGAAACCACCACCATCTGACAATCCTATGGCCTCCAGATGAGCGAAAAGGGAAAACCTTGGCATTCTCACTTCCTGGGGACCCTCTGCCTCCTCAGGTCCTCACCACCATGCTGGAATATATAGGTAGGATGTCCCCATTGATGAGAGAGGAAACTGAGGCCCAGAGACAGGAGGGGCTTGCCCAGGGTCACACAGCAGGGCTGAGCCTGGATGACGGTTCAGGGCTCTGGGTGGCTGAGGTCAGTGTTCTGGGGCTTTCCTCCTAGCCAAGCCCACTCCCTCCTTGGTCTTAGCCTCTGCCTTCTGACGAACACTGTCCAAAAATTCTGATGCCTGGCTCTTGGAAAGCTATGCCATGGGCCAGAAATGTGCCAGTTGTCAGGAGGGGGACCAAAACTGTGGTCTCCTGGGCACCAAGGAGGTGTGGAGGAAACAGTAGTGGGACAGGGAGGGAAACTGAGGCCTAAATTCAGGGACATGGCATTGAGCCCTGCTCTGAAGCTCTATATGATCTCAGACAAGTCTCTGGGCCCTAGTATTTTCATCCGTGGAATGCAGTCATAATCCTGGCCCTTACACTGGCTCCTTCCCACCCCCATGCCGGCAGACGGAAGCACTCAGGGGAAGCAGAAGTTTGCTGAGACCAGGAGGGGACCGACCTGGGGAAATAGAGCCTCGGCGAATATGATCCCTCATTGAGCTGCACTGGGTCCCAGCATCCCTGTTGCTGGGGACACGGGACAGCATCCCATGGCACACCTACACACACTCCAGCCCCAGGAACTTTCAACCCAGCAGCCACCCCCCCCCCCACTGCCCCCAGAGGCAGGGCATGGGGCATGTGGAGGTCTTCCCTTGCCCGGCCATAGGGTCCAACAGAGACCGGAAATGGACACACAGATGAATGCAGGGACAGAGAAAACAGAGATGGGCAGAGTCAGAGACAAGAAGCAGAGATAGAGCCAAACCAGGTGGAGACAGAGAGAGCTACTGGGCCAGAGTGACAGAGGGATGGCGACAAGGAACCCAGAATCAGGGAGCTCTAGAGAGAGGCAGAGATGGACAGAAAGAGAAGCAGAAATGTGACCGTGATAAAGAAGCCGAGAGAGGCCGAGCTGGACGGACAGACAGAGGGATGAAGGGCGGTGCAAAGGGCACCCACACTCACTGAACTTTCTGCTGGTTTTCTTGGGCCCCTCCGTCATCCTGGCAAGTCGTGCAAATCCCTTGGCCAGTGGGCAAGTGGCCACTCACGGCTTGGGACATCGACGTTGACGCTCCTCCCTCACCTCCCCTTCCCCTTTCTCGCACCCTCTCACTCGCTTCCTCTGTGTATTTTTAAACCAGTGAAACTCCCACAGCTCCACCCTCCCCATCCTCTCCACAGGGGGCGGGGGCCAGGGCCTCCCCCATTCTGGGCCCCTGTGGGCTGCCTCCTTGGCCTTGGCTGATGGGGTGTGGGGCAGGGGCAGACCACAAGCCCATGGGACCCGGAGGGCCTGGGAGACAAACCACAGACCCCGGGAGTGGAGCCCACTGGGCGGGGGGCTATCAGGGGGTCTGGCCAGCGGCTGGAAGGGTGCCAGGAGTCAGGCCTGCCCACAGGGCTGTTTGTCCCAAGCCTCCGTGTCTGGGGGAAGGACTGGCAGCAGCGAAGAGTGCTGTGGTTAGGCCTGGGGCCGTGGGACCACCCAGACCCAATTCTAGCCTTGGCTGGCTTCTTTGTCACCGTGTGATCCTGGCTAAGCCACCTACCTCCCTGAGCCTCTGGTTCCTCACCGTGAGCAGAGGGCATTTGCCACGCCTACCTCACAGGATCTAGTGCTTGGTGCAGAGCCTGGTACAGCATGGGTGCCCACCGGGGCATAGTCACTGCTTCTTAAGCTGGAGGGGACTCAGTGATAGTTTGGTCCA